ATAGGGGCTTTTCCTTATAAACTAATGTTTTTTGGGTGGTGTCCAGTCTCTAGGCATTCGGAAGATATTTGTGGTTTACTGATTGCGCATATATGTTTGTGGCTCTGAGCACCGTAGTTTTTAGGACCATGATAATGCAGTTTTTCGATTTATTTGAAATTGATAAATACTGTCAAAAGGTCTTATCGATGGCTATCGGGTGTCGATGGAATTAAATAACAACGTGGTTGTTGAGATATGTGAAGAAAATATCGTATTTACTATGTGTTTTGGGCTGCGCCGCTCGTTTATCTCTCCAGTGATATACTGCATTCCATTGGACTTATGTGAAAACCACTCTACTTAAAGGGTAGGTGTTAAGAGATGATGAGAAAATGGGAAATCTCCAAAACCAGGCTTGATCCGGTTTATTCCACTACTCCACTACTCCCCGCTACTCATCTCCACCAACTTGCCCGATATAGACACTAAACGAACTTCGTTTCTCCTCACGTAAAACTTGCCTTTGGCTCATTTGGACTATGCTTGGATACATAATGAATTTCTTTATATGTTCTAAATGACTGGTACGTCTAGCAACTGCTTTGTCTCTTCCTTCTTAAACCCATCCCCCTCACACCCAGTTCTTCTTCGACACTCTTTCACAACCTCTATTAAAGTATTTGACACCTGCCTGATAGTTATGGTCTCACCAAAGAAGATCGTTGTGATTGGTGGCACAGGAATGTATGGCGGCTCGGTCGCTCGTTCACTGAAAGACAATCCCGAGTTCGAAGTTGTGTTGACAACGCGCGATCCTAACTCGGCCAAAGCCCGCAAGTGTCGCGACCAGGGATATTTGTTGGTAAAGGCCGACTCCTGGAATGCTGCCGAGCTCGATTTGGTGTTGGCAGGCGCCTATGGTGTGTTTCTCAACACGGACTCAGACGATCCGAATTTCAAAAATGAGGTCGGATTGCCGGAATCCGCCATGGGCAAAATCGTGATCGACGCTGCCATCCGTCAAAGTGTGAAATACTTCGTTTTCTCAGGACTTCCACAGTCTAGCCGCCTTACGAATGGAGAAGTGTCCATCTTGTCCTTCGACAACAAGAACGCCATTGCCAACTACGGACGTAAGGCTGGGTTCGAGGCCTTTGTTGAGGTCAATGCTGGCTGGGCTATGGATATTTTCTTCATGGAGACGTACGCGAATGCATTCGGCGGATTCGCGACTATTCCAGACTCAGAAGGCTTTCTCAGTTTGAAAGTCTTCCCTATGAGCAATGACTCGGAGTTGATTCCATGGACCTCCGTGAGAGACGATTACGGCGATGCTGTACATGCTGTTTTCTTGGAACCGTCAAAACACGCCAATCGCATTATCTGGGCCATATCCGAGGCAGCCAGCTTTCAAGATGTGGCTGATACCTACAACCGATTGACCGGTACACAGGTAGCGAGATTTGTACCGCAAACCGAGCCCCTCAAGGCTAGCACCCCCGGCAAAACCAAGGAAGTCAACGGACTGCGAAACTATTGCCACTACGTGCAAGGGAGATACTGCAACAATCAGATTACTGATAATCATTTGCTCGGAGAGATGAGAGAGCTCAAAGCGCTCGCAACAAAGGCGCGAGGAAAGGGACATGCGTCCACACAGTCTATCGACGGCTTTCTACGCGACAACGCCCCCGTCAAATTGCAACTATCCGCGTCGAAAATTTGATTATCATGGAAGGCCAACGAAGTGAAAAAACTGCGAAGAAAACCAAAAACAGTATTCTGTTGAGGCGGGCTTGGTAGGCAGGTGGTTAAAATGGGTGCCTAGAGGATTAATTAGGCCAGTAGTTAGTTAACTAGTTATTGTGTTTGTAACTAGCTAGTTCTAAACTTGCCACTTCCAATTTTCAACTTTTCTCTCACTCTAACTATTTATCTAGTAGAACTCACGCTTAGTTTTCTAACGCAGAGCTTTGAAAAATATTATAAAAAGACGAGTCGTGGCGACGACCATGTTCAGCATGTTCAGTCAACAGCGCATGGACCAATATTATGGCGACACATGCATGAGTAAATGGCCAAGACTACTCCGCATACTCAGTCCGTTACAGCGCAAAGATGGCATGTGTGCTGAAGGTTCTTGTAGGGTGTTTGATTTGCTCGGTGGAGACGCCGCCATTCGGGGCTTCGCCTCGGATCTAAAACAGGAATCTCGGTCCACCACCGGCGGGCCTCGTATGCTTGTCAAATTAGGCAAGTAAGCTATCCCTCCTTGGAAGTTTCCCTATGTCTATCAGAGAACTCACTAGAAATACCCATATTTCTAGTCATGACAGTGCCGGACAGAGCCGCCCGAGGGATACTGGCCACACATAAAGACAGCAAATTCCGCGCCGTCTAAAGTTCCTTGCACTATATGTTCAAGATGTCCAGCTTAACTCAAACTATCACTGCCCCCAATGGTGTGAGCTACCAACAGCCCACCGGTCTCTTCATTAATAACCAATGGGTCGCTTCGTCGACTGGCCAAAAGCTCCAGTCTATCAACCCAGCGTCAGTAACCCACCCTACAACCTCAATTATCCTTGAAATTGACTTATCGTGTGTACAGTACCGAAGAAGAGATTACTTCAGTCCAGGCCGCCACGGCGGAAGATGTTGACAAGGCGGTTCGTGCCGCTCGCGCTGCATTTGAGGGAGACGAATGGCAGAATGTTGTTGGCACTGCCCGTGGCAAGTTGATGAACAAAGTGGCCGACTTGGTTGAAAGGGATCAACATGTTCTAGCCACAATTGAGGCACTGGACAATGGAAAGCCATACTCTCAGGCCCTGGGTGACATTGAGGAGGTCTTCTCGGTTTTCCGGTATTACGGAGGCTGGGCTGACAAGGCTTATGGGCAAACTATCGAGACTAGTCGCTCCAAGTTCGCGTATACCGTGCGCGAACCCATTGGTGTTTGTGGTCAGATTATTCCGTAAGTTCTCCTTTCAACGTGTCTTTGGCACCTCGACGTGTCCAATCTGTCACCTGAACACGCACTTGCTTTCATTGATCCTTTATAAGCTAACGGGTTTATCCACCCTAATCTAGATGGAACTATCCACTTGGGATGGCATCGTGGAAGTTGGGCCCTGCACTAGCTTGCGGTAATACCGTGGTTATTAAAGCAGCAGAGCAGACCCCTCTTTCTATTCTCTATTTTGCGAACCTCCTAGTTGAAGCAGGGTTCCCACCTGGTGTGGTCAATATCATCAACGGCTATGGTCGCGAAGCTGGGTCAGCCTTGGTCCAGCATCCTGAAGTCGACAAAGTGGCATTCACCGGCAGTACACCTACAGGTAAACAGATCATGCGGATGGCCAGTGATACCATGAAAAACATCACGCTCGAGACAGGAGGGAAAAGCGCTCTCGTCATCTTCGATGACGCTCAGATCCCTAATGCAGTGAAGTGGGCACATTACGGTGTGATGGGCAACATGGGCCAAATCTGCACCGCAACATCGAGGATTTTTGTACACGATAAGATCTACGATACTTTCATTCAAAGTTTCAAAGAATACGTTGCGAAAGTTCAAGTCATTGGCTGTCCATTCGAGGGAACAACGTACCAAGGCCCCCAAGTCTCCAAGGATCAATTTGAAAAGATTCTTGAATATGGCAGAATTGCCAAGGAGGAAGGTGCCACAATCGTTGCCGGCGGCAAAGCTGCCGAAGGTCGACCCAACGGTAAAGGATACTTTGTGGAACCTACGATCGTTCGTGATGTGCAGCCGCATATGAGAATCTACAAAGAAGAGATCTTCGGGCCATTTGCGGTCTTTGTCGAATTCTCAACCGAGGCAGAAGCAATTCGGTTATCGAACGCGACGGAATATGGCCTCGCCGCTGCTGTGTGCACAAGTGATATTACGCGGGCTCACCGGGTAGCTAACAAGTTGAAAGCCGGCATGGTTTGGATTAATGCCAGCAACAATAGTGATTTCCGCGTGCCCTTTGGTGGAGTGAAGCAGAGTGGTATTGGAAGAGAATTAGGCCAGGCAGGGTTGGATTCGTACTCACAACTCAAGTCGGTTCATTTGAATCTGCAGTTGACAGAGCAGATCTAGCGTTGTGATAAATTTATCTAGTGTGGACTGAAAGAATTGAACGAACAGCATGTTTCAAATTCGTTTCCAATTGAGATATTTGCAATCCTTTTGGACTGAAAGCAAGCAAGGGTAGTAAGCACTAATAGGAAATGTGATGACTGTTTACGAGGCCCGAAGCATCTGTGCTTTATTTTCACATGTACAATTACTATAACCAAGATATAGGATAAATTGTCAGCTGACGTGGGTAAGAAGGGTCTGTCATCTCCCTTCTTTGCACTGGCCTCGGGAGAAATCGTGGGTTATCAATCAGCAGCTTGGCTCAATTCGTCGGTAGCAAGCCATGTCTTACATTTTGTAGGTGGAAGGCAGCGAGGCGTCAAGAAGGTTAAGGTGGACGGTGGACAGTGGGCCCTAGATAAAGCGCTTTTTTCCAATTTTCAATCGTTTCGTTCCCGCGCAATCGACACTTAAACCTTGATAATAACTGAGACTCATCGGTTGGCTTTTGTCCTCCGGCTGCGGCGATGGGTGTAGCTCCATGGGATCCGATTTCAGCGCCATAATTGACATCCAGGTGTTGGTTTGCAGAAGAAAGGACAGTGAATGTTTCATTTATAGTAACGTACATAATGCTCAGCCGATGATTGTCGATCTCCTTCCGAAAATAAGCTGCGTGTTTTGGGTGTCACAAAATATTGCTCGTTTTCTCCTACGCAAACTAACGGGATGAGACCCGTGCTAACATTATTTTAATAGGACAGGGGTTGCTTGTTGTAAATCACATGAAGCAAAACTTGAATATCGATAATGAGTCTTAGCCTCCGTAAGAAGAAAAAGATACTGATCGCTGCGTTAAGATGTTTAGGGGTTTAAGTCTCTGACCCCACATAACTACAAAGTATATCAATCAATCAATCAAAGTTCAATTAACCTGTTGCAGTCTAACTAGTTGCGTATGACTATGAAAGCGCTTCATCCAGCTGAAGCAAGAACCCGAGTCCAAACGCCGAGCTGGGATTAGTCCCAGAGAGCATATAGATGCTGATCGTAAAGAGTGCGGAATCAACCCATTCCTGTAGCCCGTAAACCCATAAACCCACAAACCCATACATAAAAGATATATATAAAATGACTGCCATGGAGTGCACCCTCTATCTTCCCACTTCTGACTTCTTGCTTCTTCCTTCCCACTCTATCCTTCTCATCCTTGAACCCTCCCCCTGTCTCAGTTTCAATTGATAGTGACGTTCTCCTGGCCAGTTGATCGGCATGCTCGTCTACTCTGGCTGAGTTTCTCGTTCCATAGCTTTCATTTATTGTCATTGGCTAATACCCATCGTCTTCTCTACCTAAGTTCACGGCCGCAAGGCTTTCCGGCTCGTCGTCGTCGTCCTCCGCCGTCACATATTAGAACCATTAGAGGAGACTTATACGATGCATAAAGTTAAGCACGTAGCGGGTGGCCTGCGGGTGCGAGATGATCTTATCTAGTCCATCTCCTTAATACTAACTGCCCATAGCTGTCCCTATAATTTCGCGCGCGGAATGATATATCGCGGGCCCTGTATAAGGATATGCTTTAGTGTTTATGAGCCCTTATCGCACCCACACCTATCTGTCTCCGCTACCTTGATTTTAAATAAGAAGTGTCGAAGTCCTATCCTCATTATACTGATTACATATAGATAGCAGTAGATTGGAATACTGTCACTTTTTGACCGGGGTCAGAAAAGCGAGGTTTAGAAGGCTTTATACAATAACTTAATATGCCCGTCATAGGGATTCATCATAGTTATATGTTCACATTAATACGATATAAATTAATCATACTAGATTTACCACGCTTCCTTACTTCTCTTAACCTAGGGCACCTTTAAGTGCCACCCTTATCTCCATAAGGAGGGACATGAGGACTACTCTTATCTTCGCTATCGACTAACTCACTTCGCTGTCGCTTCCGCGCACTCACCACCATAGAAGGATAAGGAAGCTGACTCGCCATTATAAACTCGTGCTTAATTAGTCCTAGACTTCGGCACAACCCGAACCCAACCCAACCTAACCCAAAATGGGGTTTTAGGTCGTATGAGAGGCCGACTATTCTTGTCGAATCTCAAGACCAATGAAATACAACCAATAGTGTCATCTGTTTTTAAATATCTCATACCATATTACGGAAGTAATTCTAAATGGGCGAATTGCCTGCCAAGTGAACGTAGACTTAGGTCATGATGATCCCTCCACATATTGGAATTTCCATAGATCTTCGCCCCCAAGTCTTTCAGATATCAGATTCCCGTTTCAATTTATGTTTCCGTCTAAGTAAGGCTCAGTATGAACCCTGATTATTCTTGTCACTGCGTATCTTGTGGGGCAGCCATCTGCGACCAGCCTCTTTGGAATGGCAGGTATCGAGTATGTGAGTTTGACCGCTATGTTATTAGTATTTTGCGCCGGACTCATCCACTATAGTATATCTGACTCGAAGCGGAGCTCAGCTATCAGATGTTTATACAACCGAGTTTGACTGGGCGATTGAGGAAGATGTTAACAATCTTGGCCCTTGGTATTTCATGCACATGAAAAGGCCCTGCAAAGCCTTGTTAATTCACGAGAGCTGCTGGGTCCTCATAATTCAACAATTTGAGCCGGAGGTAATCGATTTGGACAGGCTTTTTGAAGTCTGTAAGGATATTCCTCCTTCAGGAAGGCCAGACTACTACTGTAAGTGGACATGACAGTATTAGTGCCAGCTTCTTTAACGAACTCAGCGGGATACGGCGGGATACTCCATTTGAGGAATCGATTTTACCCTTTAAAAAGACCCATTATCAAGGGGCTTCGAAACGCCGCGAAAGAATTTCCGAAGATGCCTAGCACTCCAAGTAGCTCTAGGTCCAATAGTAGCGCGCTTCACTTTGACTGCTTTTGCATTCTCCCGATCGAGATACGAGTTCAAATCGCTACTTACCTCCCTACTGTCGACTTCCTAAGACTACGACAGTCATCCCGAGGAATGGGAGTTGTCTTTGGAATCCAATCATTCTGGAAATCAAGATTTTCAGTGGATGGAGACCGTGGGTTTCTCTACTGCCTAGCAGCAAATCCCAGAAACTACGAGAGCAAGAACTGGCGACTCATATATCGCTGTACAGCAAAAATTGATCGGTCTCATGAGCACCTGTGGGTGATGCGACGACAGTGGAGAAATAACCGATGGCTAAGAGAAAGGTATTCGATGGTCAGAGCTTCGAACGAGGAGATTGTCTCCAACCAGGAATTACTTCATGAATTATCCTGGAAGGTGGTTTTCACTGGAATTCGATGCGATAGAGATGGCAAACTAGGCAAAAAATGGAGGAAATGCCGCACTTGCCATGCAAACCATAACCTCCTTTCTCAAGTTGCACTATTAAAAAGCTCTGTCATTGGCATCGCTGTGTCTATCCTACGTGAAGAAACAGATACCTATATTACTGGCTTCGACCTTCTGAGCGCAGATCCCGAAAAGCCAAACGTAATTCTTGGGTATCGGCTACCAGGGGAATCCGTGATAATCAATCTCTACGGTGAGCAACTGATAGGATTTACGGTTATTGAGGGCGATGCTGGAATCCATGCAATACGCCCAATTTTCAATGAGACTGCCACAATCATGACCAGCTGGATAGGTTCACCAGAGGGTAGCGGGATCTGCAAGTCTACGGAACTAGTCCTTGAGCGAGGCATCAAAGCAATTTCAGGAAGATTCGATGTAAGTAAGTTCTTCCTGGCGAAATGTGGAACATTGGGTAACCTTGAGTTAGCACTGCAAGATGGTTGGTTTCTCCATAGCATAGATAGAACACAGATAGGGAGGGAATTTTGCTACGGTTGCTCATTATCAAAAAGAATCCGCAATTTGCTACCACATACTTCCCAATGAATATAAATATTAGTACAAACGAAGTTTACCGTCGACAATTAGTTGGTGAATCGGAAATGACATGATTTGATCCTGGCGAGGAACTAAATGTGCCGATGCCGAAGATCACAGAAGCTCGGTTTGCAGTGATCACTAACGAATCATCATTATTTTGTTCGTGCTCTTTTATCATATAATTACTATGTTTGTTTCTTGAGAAGCCTTTATGATTAACTACCTAGGCTGAACCCCAGCCCTCGCATCAATATACGTCAAACAAAAACTGAATGGTTTCTATGGAAGTTAAAAAACTAGTTGATTACACTCCATTTTTGTATAGAGATTTTTCAAAGTCAACGAATATAAACTACTTAAGGCGGCAATATAAGATTGAGTTACACCTCTGCCTAGCACTTATTGACTATTGAACATCTAGGTATTCATGTGAACGCATCTGCCCGTCGTCTTATTGAATAGCACAGTTGCCTAACACGTTTTCTAGGTTATTATGCAGTTATTCTATAGCTATAGACATTTGAAATAGACTACAATCTATAATTAGTATTAGTATAGTCTAGTCTCTGCACTGATGCTCTCGACAATACTTTCCCTCTAAGCTACTCCATACTCCGCCCCACTCTACACAAACACAAGCACGCTGGTCGTGTCATAAATTAAGAAATATGTCTGCATCCGTAAGTTTAGCCTTGCTGGTTTCATAATTCGATTACTAACTGGATTACCTACAGTATGCGGGCAATGAAATAATCGAACTTTACATCCAAAAGGTCAAACGTGGATGTAAAGAAGACAAGATAGACCATATGTGGACCCAGATTCTGCGTTTCTATTTTCCACTCCAAGAAGGGTATGGCATAGAGCGCGAGCCTTACACAACTGAAACCACACGCGCTCGGGCCAATATCGTGGTCACAAATGTTCGAGAAAACAGGACCAACAAAGTGTTATTTGTTGAGTGCAAGCCTTTAAAGGCTAAGATTCCAACTTTCAGACATACCGCCACGCCTTAATTAAATGATCGGATGGCATTTTAAGAAACTTCGAACTTTTTTCCATGCAATATAACACGTAACTATGTGTATCGTAACTATGTGGACCGCATGGGGAGCCGATTCCTCCCACGCTGGCTGGAAATTCCCCAAGGAAATACCAATTCCTTTCTACCACTCTTTCCACCCACTCTCTAGTGATTCTATGCTTATCTAGTCCCTGCCGCCTATACCCCCCGAAAATGAAGCAACAACATCGACGCGGTTGCAGCTTGCAGCAGTATGGCGCTCACGGGCACCAAATGTATGTGCCTCATATTATCTTCTAGTTTCAACTCTGTCCTTAATTATAGGACCCCAAAACTTTTGCCTTGTAGAGGCTAACCCAGAATAAAACCAGCGTCCCATAGTATATACATCATAGACTGGCATCTGAAGTGCCATTTGAATGGCCTCCGAAAATGGTGGCATTTGCGTGCACTCCATACAGAGTACTGCGATGTCAGGGTATTCAGCAACCAATTTGCGGGCGACTGTTACTAGTTCCGCACATATTTCCTCATGTACATATTCAAGACCTTGGCGAATATGACTTTGCAGCATACCACCTTCCGGGGGCCCCCGTATATGACACCTGGAAGTAGGGATATTCATTTTGGCGAGGTGAAGAGAACCGAGCCGTGTGTCATCAAACGTTAGGATGCCGACACTTCGTGTTGCAGGAAGCACTGCCAAGATTGAGGGAATTTGAATCAATGCAGATGTGGCGATTGGTATGGAGATACGTGTAGCGAGTCTTGAAAAGTTAGTAAGACCGAACACAAGATTTGCGACAGGATAAACATACTCCGGTTGCGCCATTGCTAGGAAACCACAACTCGTGATGATACCCACGGCTCCACGCTTCGCAAGCCTCTCGCTGGCCTCGACAAATTTGTTGATAAAGACCTCGTCATACGGCCCTGAACACACCACTTGAGCCTCGGATGAGCCATCGACTTTCTCTCGGATCAGTGGAAAGGGCCAGGTATCTTTATTGAAAGGATCCCCCGGTGGCCTGTGTAATGTGACATCAATAGAGATAAAGCCCAAGGGAGGGCGGTCATCATTAATAGTCATGCTTTCTGATATCGCTAAAGTTGGTCTTTTGGCATCAGGCCCCAGGTGATGATTTCGTAAGTTTGGATTTGAGGTTGTCGCCGGCTGTGTTGCTGCCATGAATTAATCGATTAGCAATAATCCTTGAAATCAAAATATCAGTCTCTAAGGTTATTTCACGAATAGGATTTTAGAGCTAAGCTTATCGGGACTTTCCGCTCAATGTAAGTCATCTCGGAAGATCCCGAATGCAGACGCCATCCTCCAAGCTGGGCTCGCGATAGCGATTATTTGCATCATGCGGGGTCGAGCTTGAAAAATGTTACAAATCTCTTTTTTTGAATTGCTCGTGTTCTCGGATTTTGCAACGCCATAACAATTTGCCTGGATCTTTATTTTCCTTCCATTTTCTCAAAGCAACCATGACTGTCGGAAGAAAGCCGCGTGTGGTTTCCCTCGGGGAGCCTGCATTTGTGGGCAGTGATTACCTTGCTCAGTTCAAAACCGAGTTCGACTACTCTGTTCTGTTTGCAACAAACCGCGAAGAAACCCAGACCTTGCTACCGAAGGACATCAAGGAAAATGGACCGATAGACGCGTTCATCGTTCGCATGGGTACACCGCCCTATGAGCCATTTGATGAGGACTTGCTTCAGGCACTAGCACCAGGGTGCAAGATTATCACTTCTGCTAGCGCAGGATACAACGAATTTGACGTGGACTGGATGGCTAGTCAGGAAATTGTGTTTTGCAACACTGTGAATGCCGTCGCTGAAGCTACAGCAGACATGGCTATATTTCTGATACTTGCTGTTCTGCGAAACACCACAAATGCCGAGAAAAGTGCACGCAGTGGTATGTGGAGGAAGGGCGCAAACCTGGTTCCTACCTGTGATCCATCGGGGTTGACTCTTGGAATTGTTGGCATGGGTGCTATTGGAAAGGTGAATAGTCTGAAGTCTGTCTGTCTCGAGGCATTGCTGATTTTTCTCTTCTCAGTACCTCGCCAAGAAAGCCGCTGTCTTCAACATGAAGATTAAGTACTACAATCGACATCAACTACTGGCCTCTGAAGAAACGGCCTATGGTGCAACGTACTGCCAGTCTCTGCATGATCTTCTTCGCGAATCAGATGTCGTCTCCTTGAATTGCCCTCTGAATGCGGCAACCACGAACCTAATCAGCAAGGCCGAATTCTCCGTTATGAAAGACGGTGTATTCCTCGTTAATACGGCTAGAGGAGCGGTAATCGACGAGGAATCCCTCATTGCGGCACTCGATTCAGGCAAGGTAGAACGCGCTGGACTTGACGTTTTTGTGAACGAGCCGAGCCCGAATCCCTATTTCTTACAAAGTGATAAAGTCGTTGTGCAGCCACATTTGGGTGGTTTGACCGAGAAGGCATTCCAAAAGGCTGAGAGAGAATGCTTTGAGAATATCCGCGCGTTTTTTATGACCGGAAAGGCGAACTCGCCGGTGAATATCAAAACAGAAGACCCCTGAGGGTGGTGGAACGTTTGAGTAGCTTTAGACGTGAATATATTATTGTGATTTATTCGCACATGATGTTCTTCACAAGGCCAGTAAAGGATATCTTTTGGTGGGCTATAACTTAGAGCCCAGTCAAGAACATCAATCAAGTCTCACACGCAGTTCCAGCACTTGAATAAAATCCTGCAAAGTATATTTCCAATATGAGCAGCAATAATGCGGATAACATCTTAAAGTCCCGTTCCACGGCCGCTGCTTTTTTGCTCAATCCTTTTTGATGAGCGGGGGGGACGACATCAATCAAACCCCTTGATCTGAACAAGGTGTCAATCTATAGAAACATCCCTCCCTAGGAGGATGCGCACTACCTTGGGGGGTACAATCAGGTTGCGATTACTTCATTGTAACTTATCTCCGTTTGGTTACTAGAAGACTTTGATATGGAGGTAATTAATAACCTATTTAGGTTCCTCTTCTCCACCATTATGGCCCTTCAATGGACCGGAAATCTCGAGACGGCTGTTTCTAGAGGCATATGCATCCATATGCATCGATAATTAGCGACATCAGCGGCACCATCGACCTGCATCGACCTGCATTGACCTGCCAGTGTATTTAAGTCTATTTATCCAAGTTCGTGCAAGAATTTCGTGCCTTTGCCACACCTAGTTCCGCAATCTAGAGCTGATAGAGTTAATCAACGTGCGAATGCATTTTCTGTTCAGTGAAAGTATCTTCCTTTGGGTTGAACCTCCTCCTCTAGATTCTTAAGAGCCTTGTTGGTTTCTTGACCAACCTGCACTGAAAGCGTGTAGCAATTCCTTGGCAGGGTTTACACGATGAATTTCATAAACGCAAAGCAAATCAATGTAGAAAACTAGGTAGTGCTTGTAGTATAAGGACCGCATCGTCGACTTATAGTTGCTACTGATACAGGGTCATAAATAACACAGGTAATATATCTATCATTGTTTCCTATTATGGAAATACTTTGTCTTTATACTGACTATAGTTTAGCCTTTGCATTGCTTTGCTTGTTTGGTTTTTCAACAAAACATATGTTCTGAAGAGCCCTTGGGCCACCGATGCCTTCCATGAGAGTGTTGGTTGGTTTCTCCGCACCAATAGATCTCCACCGCCATGCCTTAACCGCTGGTCGATCCATACCAACCCCCTCCATTATATCGACAATCCAGTTTCCGATGTTCGGAAGGTATTTGAAGGCATGGCCACTACCCCCTGTTGCGACCATAAGCCCTTGTTTATTGGCGACACGGTCAACAACAAAGTGGTTGTCAAATGTATCAGTATACCAGCAAACTCTGGTCAGGGAGATATCTATCCCCTCTTCAGATAACTCTGGAAGGTATTCATTCAAAAAGCCCATGAGAACTTGATGTGCTTGTTGTGGGAAAGATGTGAATTTGTCGCCCGTAGATATATTTCCATCTTGTTCGGCAGCTGACCATCGTGTCACAGGCGTGCTTCGCTCACTGCCATCTCCCTGGCGCAGCGGGTTGGTGTACTTCGTTCCTCGATATCCAACCTTAAACCAACCGTTTTCATCCCTCGGGAATCCATACAAGCCACCCTCAGCTCCGTTCCGCATATTCCACATCCAGGTCGGAAATTGATCTGCACCTAGTCGATCCCACAGAGGTGACTGTCGAGGAATCTTGAAAAGTATTACACTCCCTGCGGTGGCCTCGCATAGGCCATCAAGCTCAGGCAGTAGCACAGGTGTCCAGCCACCACAGGCCAGAACAGTCATCTCTGCTGAATGTGTCTTCCCATCCCGAGTTTTGACACCAATCACCTTCGAACTTTGATAGCACAGCTCCTTCATACATCCAGTCTCTTGGCCGAAAATGAACTTCGCTCCCAGGCTTCGTGCCTTGTGCAGCGCAAACCGACAGGCCTTGTCTGCAATAGCCATGCCACCTGTGGTATCTAGCACGCCGGTGTTGTTTTTTCTGCGTCTTTCTCTCTGAAATGGGTCCATGAATGATTGAAGTCCCTTCTGGACCGCAATCTCCTTATGGCGAGGAATGGTCGTAGCTAGCTGGGTGTCTTTGTTTCCGGCTTTCTCCATTCCATCAATACAGGCAAGCTCCCATGCTGGCAGCTCAACAGATGTAGATAGAGAAATGTTGCCATTGGGCACGAAGACTGCATCCTTGGTGGACATTCCAGACGGTACTACAGTGCCCCCTTTGAGCTCGGTATTCCAGGTATGCCACTCAGCAATTGCCTGGGTAGATAAATCTTGATATTCCGTTTGTGATCCGTATGCTGACCGAACGATTTTGTTGATGTCGGCAGAAGCGGCGTCCGCGCCCTTGGTGTATGAGTACAAAGTCTCATCGTAGGATTGTTTGTCAAGAACAGTGACATCGCTATAACCACGTTTGCAAAGATGGAGTGCTGTACTGAGGCCGAATATTCCAGCCCCCACAATGACGATAGGGCTGTTCTGATTTGGTGGTCCTGTCTGGTCCATTTCTCTGGTGCTTTGAGTTGAGGTCAAATCGGTTTTTAGAAGTAAATATTTCCTTGTATGCCCGTGAGACCCTTCCGGTATCATGTGTAATCCCTCGGGTGTCTGATTGCGTTCATCGTATCTCTTTCACTATCGCTCATTGGACTTCGGGTTATCCCGATCTGTTATCAAAAGGAGGTACCCCCGCCAATAATTCTCGGTTTCTCCCGATTCACAGTTTGGAATTATCCGGTCTAGCCACGAATTGAACATGATTAGACCTAGTTCCGCATTGTCTAATCTACATGCAGGTCGATCCTTTGTGGGAAATGTGGGGAACACTTGTTAACATCCGTACTCCGTAGTTGTAAGGACCCGACGATGAGGATAGGAGGAAACCCTGTTAGACATGATACTCCATCAGTCATGAAGTTATACGGACTTCGAGGTGTGGAAAAAGGATTGAGGGGTAAATGTTAGATCAAATGTCATTGGCCACCTTATCTCAACCGTTTTATCTCCCCCGCGATATTGTCAAGGCTATCAACACACTGTCTCAGTCAAAAATTTCGAATCATGAGACATGCACCAAAGCGACCAAGAGCCGGGGAGCGGACAATGCTGGCTTGTATCGGGTGCAAGCGCAAGAAATTGAAGGTAACGGTCGTACAAGTATGAAAACATGCATACATGTAGGTTGACACATGATTAGTGCAATGGGCAAACGCCGAAATGCAACCATTGCATGAGAAACCAACAAGGTACATTGATTACTCTTTTGAGTTGGTGGCTTTATCTGATGTGGCGCAGAATGCCTCGTGGAAGACCCTGCCACAGGGCTACATCGCCCGCGTGACTACATGCAGTCACTTGAATCACGCGTGGTTTATCTGGAAGGGCTTCTTCGGGAATCGCGTCCAGGCGTAACCTGCTATGGAGACGATCAGAATGAGGCTAGGAATGTCGAGCCCATTGCTCCGTTTGTTCCAACAACCTCGGCTCAAACCCCGGAAGCTTCAACCTTCAGCCAATTACGGGACTCACCGGGGCCGTATACGAGTTCTACCCATACACATAAAGCACCATCATCACTTTCAAGGGAGCACGCCGGGCAAGTCGACCATCTTTCTTCTGAAGTTGCCCTGCTCTGTCTGAATGCCGCGGGTGGTGAGCCCCACTATTTCGGTCCTTCGTCGGCGGTCTCCTTCTCGAGGATCATCAGTGCAACAATGGGTCTCAAAGGCGAGAAATCGTCATCGTTGCCGCGTACTTTTGAAGACTCAGAGGAGAGCCACCCTAATACACGCCCAGATAGAGTACCACGACTACCATCACCAAGTGTTTCGGTTAATCTATCGCGGGCTTATTTCGATAATATTCATCCTCAGTACCCTTTTCTACACCGACCAACCTTCTGCAAATGGGAACAAGATGTCCGTGGACCTAGCCAGTCAGTAAACATTTCTACCGCCGGTGACGTTTCACTATTTTTCGTCCTCATGGTATGACCACCTCCAGTGCCCGCGGCGAATTTGAGACATGATCTGACAATATTGACTTATCGTAAAGGTTTATGCGACAGGCTCCCTTGTATTGAGTCAAAATCAGCACGGTGCAGCGGCGGTATGTTCTATGTGACTAGTTGGGTATTCTAAGTTCCTAACGCCACCAGATGTACTATTCTATGGCCTTGGATTACCTCCCCTCGGTCCTTGCGCTTAATAACCTGGAATCAATCCAAAGTATACTATGCTGCGCCGTGTACTCAATCAGATCACCTACTGGAGCCAGTCTTTGGTATGTTCTTCCCCTATCCTTATTCCGGCTCAAACTGTAACGTCAACAATAGGAAAATATCAGGCATGGCCATTCGTCATTGTATCGAGCTAGGATACCACAGAAGTGCAGAAAGATATCGCAGGCATGTTGATCCCTTGACAAAGGAGATGTCTAGAAGGTGCTTTTGGGTCGCATACGACATTGATCGTGTTGCAGCTTTCACCCTCGGTCGGCCAGTGGGTATCCCAGATGAGCTGATCGATACAGAGGTATGATATATTATGTTTGATACCTTACTTCAGATCATGCCATTCTAACATTCTATACTAGCTTCCTATGGATATCGAAGACGAGAATATTACTCACACGGGTTTACTGGCGAATCCCCGTGCTACCGATGACCAGGTGCCAACAATCATGACGGGTACCCTCCATGTTATCAAGTTAAGACAACTATGGGCAAAATTCCATGCCAATCTCTATTCACCTCAATTACAATATGCCAGTACGGGTAGCCAATTTGCCACAGTTGATACTTTGCGCCAAGAATTGGAAGAGTGGCATGCATCAGCTCCCACACACCTAGACTATTCATCGTCTCATCCTTTATCGGTATTTGCGTCAAACGAATGGTTCCAAATTGCATACAATCATTCAATCCTGATTCTATATCGCTCATATATCACCGGGGTCCTGGGCAAACGACGACAAGGATCTGGCCAAAACGAGTCGAACAGCACCGACTTCATTGAAGAGGAAGACAATCTCCAAAGAGCATTCGAAAATTGTTCTCGCTGTGCCCGTGAGATATGTGTGCTGTATCGTCGCCTCTACCAGAAATCAACTGTCCAATTCACTTGGGGAAGTCTCCATATTCTGTTCCTAGGCGGGTTAACATATTTGTATTGTCTCTGGCGGTCATGGAGAGTTCGCCAGCAGACTAAACAGAGCGAGGTAATAAATACATGCATGGCCTGCACAACAGTCTTGGTGATTATAGCTGAGCGATGGAACTTGGCTACATCGTATCGCGATATCTTCGAAACACTCTCTGAGAAAACCATCAACATGATCTGCGGAAACGATAAACTCGCTGGACTGGCCACTCCGCAGGCACAATGGACCGTTCCTTGTGACACCCTTCCCCCTGGCCTGTCGCCAAGAGACTGGAGTTTGGGCTTTGATGATTTCTCCATGCCTCAAGGCTCGGACTGGTTTATTCAAGAGTTTTTACAAGAATTTCCAGAATCTTAGCCTAATGAAACTGAACTAGGTGTCATATCACATGTATTCCTCCGATGTTTCAAACCTCATTCGCATCTGACAATTAGCCTACACTCTTCATCTATCAAATGTGAATCTTGAGGGAATATTGTTCTCCCTATTACTGCTATGTTGATGATCGACATAAAACCCCCAATATAATACTAAAATAAATTATGTGGAAACTACAGCATTAGCTAGACCTCGACAACACCATCCACGAATTGCGACTTCTTCTTCGCAGGCGTATTCTCTTGTTCAGTACTGCGTTGATTTTAGTGGCTTGAAACAACATAGTAGTATGAGAAGGAGTATTCTTACGGTAACTCGCAAGCCTCGACGCAAGTCACACGGTTCCGCTGTGTACCGCGATATGCTTTCCACAGTGGCTGCTCGAAGATGGCGTCGAAGTCTTCAAGCCCTTCGCTTGCAGTTTCCGGTATCACAAAATAGGCATAGACTAGTGAGATAAAACACCACGCCGCAAAGAACAGGAATGCACCCCAGTTGTTGGTCTTAGCGAGGAGGGATGGAGTCGCTTTGTTGATGCCGAAGAAGAAAAGCCAATGAAAGCACTGTGAGATGGCCGCACCAAAGGATCGAATGTGATTGGGCCAAATTTCTGCGCCAAAGACGTATGGGAGAATCAGAAGGCCTGAGGAAAAGTCAGCATTAACAAAGAATCAGTAATGATGTCGTCCTACTACTCACCGACAGCAAAGCCAAAGCCGTGGATAAATATAGCAGCAATGGCCGCCTGACTCGCGTTGCTGGTAACGAGTCCACTCTGTCTATATTTGATATAGACACCAATGTAGATGTCAGAGATCATCTGGAGTGTTACGCCAGTAAAGAAGCTTTTCCGACGCCCCAGCATATCAATAAAGCAGAAGCTTGCAATGAGCGTGAAGAAAAATTTCGCCATCGAATACATGCCAGATAAAAACAGCGAACGATCCGTTCCGCCACCCAGTCCCATCAGACTAAGAATTGGTACCAAATATGAGGTCACACTGTTTGCACCGGATAGCTGTGCTAACGCGTAGGATATAAACGTTTGTTGGACACGACGTAGATTAGACGGCACGAGGAAAGTTTCTTTACACAATTTCACAAGGCCTGTTTGGGAACCACTGTGTTGGAACTTTTGCTGTGTCTCGATCTGTTTTTGGATATCTTCGATTTCGGATGCAATGCGCGGATGGGTAGCAGGCAATCCGCGCAATGTCACCAGAGCCTCGATTCCTTGCTCCGGTTTGTTGACGAGAAACAGCCATCGTGGACTTTCCGATAAGAAGAAACTTGCGACAATGATAAAAGCGACCGCAATAGTCGGCACAAAGAACACGATCTGATATTGTAGATAACTGCTGGCGACATGAAGATAAACACCCAAGACCACAAAGACGGACACCGTCAGCGATAAGAGCATCACCACACTGAACCATACCGAAAGCAGTCCTCGAAATTCAGTTGGTGCTATTTCGACAATACTGACGGGGCCGATGACGGTGAGAGCGCCTATCCCGAGACCTGACACTATGCGCGCCGTATATAAGACTCCGATATGACCGGAGGAAAAGGTAGCGATCATTTGGCCAATGATCCATATTACCATGTATAACCGGAAAGACCACAGACGTCCAATTCGATCGTTGATGAAGAATGAAAGTCCAGCGCCGACCCCGGCACCGATATAGACAAATGAAATGAAGTTAGAGACTTGGGTGGGATTTGTGGCCGAGGTGATGCCGAAAGCGTCCTGGAAACCAGGAAGTGACGGGATCACGGAAGAGGAGCCTTGGTCCCAAGCTGTGAAATATCCATTAATTGGAGTTCTGCTCTCTTGTATAGGCACAGAAACATACTAATTGGAAGGCCCGCCGTCGCATACATAGCGGCCGTTAACAAAATCTGCTTATTAGCAATGATTTCACGAGGGCATGATCTGATGGTTTTGACATAGCGAGCAATGGTCGATTCTGCCAGCATTTCCTTGGGCGCCATGGCTGCAATGAACATCCGGATTACCCAGGGAAATGGTGTCAGCTTGTGTTTTGCGGGAGACGATGAAATAGAATATCAACGAGGGGCAACGTCTGGGGCTTTGATATACCGATGTTTGCATGGTATCTCCAGTGCTGCTATCTTTGTCAAGAGATACGAGATGATCAGGTCAGAATGCATTGGTCTGGAGGAAGCCGTCGATAAGAGAAATCGGGACAATCCGAGATTCTTGAGCCATCTTGCCATTCTACCTGTCCCGAGGTCACCAGTGATCCTTCGATAAGATACCCCTCCCCTTCGGGAGAATCCGAGCCAATCCAACGAAGTCACAGGACAAAGACGATCTATTTTATTGGGGTTAGTTGGCATATCCCCGTAAATCTCCAGGGGCTTAGTGGGACCAATTATATGACGTGTTGGAGAAGGCTGAGTGGAGTAGTCGATGGTGATTCTTCTGTAGGGCAACAAAAGACTATACTCTATAATACTATCCAGTGGTGTATCGGGTACATACGACCATAGGGTGTGGAAAACAGGGCTTCCCGTCCGCTCAGCCGTACTTAAGCCACACGCCGGTGAGTTAGTAGTTGGGTGGGTGACCACCAGCGAATCCTCACTGTTGTATGTTTTTATTTTTTTTTATATTTAGATAACCTCTTGCCGCACTCTTTATTCAGCCCATTCACCTAAGCTAAATGCCTTGAACACCACTATTCTACACCTAAATATCCGGCACCCCCAATCATGGGTCCATCCGAGTTATCTCGTCCCCGCGTGCCTTCTCCATGAAGTACACCTTCCCCAACTCCAGCATGTCAGTCTGGGAGTTCCCGGTCTCTTGTTGGGCTGATCTAAGTCTCCATCCCACCCGTGGACTACATCCATGTGCCATTACGACTGACCTCTAAAGATCCTGCGTAGCCCTGAATCGCTGACGGGCCTTCCTCCTGTACTGATCCTTTTCTCAGACGTGTTGTTTTGATCATAATTTCCTGGTACTCGTTTCTACTGGTTGGCATATATGATCCCAGTAAATGCGACTTCGAGTTCACCTCATGGTTGTCTATACACTCCATGTTAGAAAGGTATATAAGTGAAAGAGTGGACGCCCAATCACACAAGTTTTATTTTATCGCCGGATTCGGAACCGTGGAAGATAAATCTTCGATGCGTCATTTCGTTCCCACAGTTACATTTACACAAGTATATAATGGAAAGATATTATCATGTAACCGATCATTTTTAAAACTCCAAGTAACGTCTAATATCCATTGATACGTCACTAATTCGGTGAAAATGCCTCAAGGTTTGTGACTCCAGTTCGGCCTTCCGTCCCAAAATTTAACCACAGGTTTGATTATAGATATCCAGCAGCCTACCGGCCATAATGAGTCCTTCTTCGACAAGATCCTTCACCACCACAAGCATGAAAACGAGGGCCAGGCTGCCAAGAACAATCCTCAGGCCGACGAGGGTGAGCTGCATTCCAATCTGAAGAAAGACGAGGAAGGCTTCAAGAAATACCTTAAAGAGGATCAGCGACTCGAAGAAGAGGGTCAAACCTACGGAGGCTTGATGTAGTCTTTTACCCTTTCTCATTGTTTTTTTCCTCATTATGATTATGCCTGCACAAACCACCATGAAATATTACTAGGGTATTCTGCTATCACTAGAAGCCGCCCACCTTTTTCTTCATTTAATAAAATGACTTATCAAACTAGGGGAGGTGAAGGCTCATGGAGGAATTGTTCTGTTATGGCCATAAGGAGGAGGTGGTGCTGTTGGGATAGCGAAGTTGGCGGATCCAAATGTGGAATCCCATGTATATCAAATGATAGGCTGTCTCCGCTCTCCGCGTAATATTCGTGTAGACTATTTCGCCCCCAGTGGGGTAAACTCGTCTCCGTTCCAATTAGTGCCATGTCATTTGTCACATAAACTATGACTTTTACATATAGGCCGATCCATGAACGTGAGCCGTCGCCACACGCATGATGTAGTCGATTATCATGTGGTATTATCATTTTTGAGCTATTACCCACAATTCAGACCAAAATCATTCAATCACATTGGACACACAAGTCAACGAGAGTAGTGGAAATACAGAAGTAGCTCGATCTCATGCCACCCCGATTGTTGTTTCGGTACGCTCTTGCAATTTCAACCCGAGATCCTTGTTGACACGGCTAAAAAGGCCTATATTCAGTGTTAGAACTTGAAGTGCAGTGGATGGACCTCTTTTTGGATCCACGATTAGGGCACTTACTATAGACCTTTTTGCGCAATTCAGGGTACTTAACATCCTTGACGGTAGACACGAGATTGTCAATAAGCCTGTCCTGGCCACCAGGCACCCGCCCAATAACTTCCCACAGTTCTGCCGGCTGAACAAAGTCTCGATCGGTGATCTCGCTAGTATAGGCCGAAACCTCTCCCGCCCACCTTTCGTGGTCAGTGTGTAGGCTCAATGCTCCAGGGTTTGAATTTTTCAGGTCTTGGTAGAACTTGGTAGGCTTAATCGATGACCCAACGTAATTAGGGTCCCCGCCATAGTTGTCGTCGAATCTCATCTTTCCGTCTCTCTCGAAAGGACAATAAACCTGGACCTTGGCTGCGTTGGTTGGGAGTTGCTGATAGTTCACTCCGAGTCGATAACGGGCCGCGTCGGGGTATGCAAAGAGTCGTGCTTGTAGCACTTGGGTTCAAGTCAGTATCAAGGATTCTTAGAAAGAATTGATGGGCTCTCCCCAACTTACCCGGATCGGCGGACGCAGCGAGTCCAGGAACCATCGTTGATGGCGAAAATGACGCTTGCTCAATATCTGCGAAGTAGTTTTGGGGCTGCCCGAGCTTAGCCACTGCAAGTGAATATCGGACAGAGGTTATGAAACTTACATTGCGGTTCATAGTAAGACGACCAATCTGCTGCAAAGGGAAGTCCTTGTGTGACCAAACCTTGGTCATATCGAAAATATTCCATTCGTATTTCTCGGCCTCTTCGGGGCTCATCAGCTGGACGTAGACATTCCAAACAGGATAGTCGCCTCTATCGATAGCCTCAAACATGTCCTGGATCATATGATCAGGATTTTCTCCGGCAATCTTGGTAGCTTCTTGCCGGTCGAAAGTCTGTACGCCTTGCTGCGTTTTGACGTGGATTTTTGCGTATTTAAACGATCCATCCTAGTCATAACCTTAGTGAGAGAAAGCTTAGCAGCTGGTTATTATTTTTACTTACCGCCTTGGTGAACTTATATGTATGTCCACTGTACGAATTCATGAAGCGAACCGATTTTGGAGTTCCACGGTCGCTGAAGAGAACCATAAGCTGATGTATGCCTTCCGGGTTACCGACGTGGAAACTGATTAAGGTTTAGTATCTAATTCACAATTAGATCTGAAAGAGACATACTCCCAAAACTGCGATCTTTATTAGATTTGCTCATCACCAATTGAAGCAAGTGTACTTACCATGCTTTGGTCAGGAAGGTGCGTTTGGGGGTGCCGCTTGTGAGATCGGTTCATTGACGGGAACTTGATCGGATCACGAATGAAAAAGACAGGCTGAGGTGGTAATAAGAGTCAGACTCAAATAACAAATAAACTATCGAGATGGCGACCAATCATACCGTGTTGTTGAAAACCCAGTCGAGATTTCCCTCGTCTGTATAGAACTTCATTGCCCATCCGTGAACATCGCGAGCGGTGTCAGCGGATCCTGACTCGGCCCCGACAGTTGACACGCGCTGAAGCACCGATGTTTTCTTTCCGACCTTATTAAGGAAGCTAGCGCTGGTGAAGTCAGAGCAATCGCGCGTGGCTTCAAACTCGCCATAAGACCTACACCGAGTGTCAACCAGAGCAATTTTCCAGAGGCTTAGCAGCTTACCCAACAGCTTTGGCATGAACAACTCTTCCAGGTTCCAATATTAGTTTAGTTAAGAAACTCAAAGAAGTAACAAATCATGTACACAAGATGCTTACCGCTCGGGGATTCTCTCCCGAGAGAAATGAGCCAAGGTCTCAATGAGCTGAGTATCCTGCAACAATCCGAGCCCACCACCTTGTCCACCCCGCATCATAACGGCCGTTTTGTTGCTAGCAAAAGGGCAGCCTATACATAGTCAGACGTCAACATAAACCCAAGCTTGGAAAGACCTTGTACCTTCAGCCAAAGTGTAATATTTGTCGTCCATGTTGATACTCGGGATAATAGCAATAGTGTCCAACAGAAAGAAAATGGATAATATGGGTTGGTCTCGAGGGCTTATATAGCTCCCTGGGAAAACCTCATCTCTTGCTAGGAAGACCGATGACCTCCACTACGTCAGACTTCAGGAAAAGGTCTCGATAAGTTGACGTCTCATTAATTACTATCAGGTTAGTGTGGTACGATCCCCACTTCCTGAAGCCTCGAAAGCTTGGAGCTTGACATTCCTCGTGCACAATTGGGGACTCTGAGAAAATCTGGAACAAAAACCTCAAGGTAGTATTTTGGTACGGTCATGATCTCATGCCAAGTAGATCAACTCTTTTGTAAGCCCCCACATTCGAAGTTCTATTGATCATCGATACTTCGCCCAGCTCTAACCTTGCAATTTTATTGGAGCCGCACAAGATATTTCGAGGTTAAATAGTTGAGAATGATTTGTTGACCAGCCATTTCATAAATCCGGGGCATCCGCACATATTCTGAGTGCTCGATCGAACCAATAAGAGATAAGACAAATCTCAACCGAATCCATTGAATTCTTGAACTAGTCTCGGAGGTAGGAATCTATTGATGCAATTATCTACGGAGAAACAGGTATCGATTCCTATGCTGAGAGATGGACGGACAAAGAGAGAGAGAGAGAAGGGGGGGAGAGAGAGAGGGGGAGAGAGAGAGAGGGAGAGAGAGGGAGCAAATTGTTTATGGGCTATGTCGCACGTGGCTGATGATTGAGCCATCCATCTACGGTGCCAACAACTAGACTTCAGGCACGCGAGGTAGTCCAGCAGATCCGTTGGTAGACTTTGATCCCTACGCCCCTCAGTCACGAGTCCGGTGAACTGGAGAAGACCAGTAAGGATTTTTAGACGATTCTAGACTCCTAGGCATCCTGAGCTACTTTGTTCCTTTCTAGGTCTATGACGTCTCCCCGAGGGGTTAGAAAGTGGGATGCAAGGCTTCATCCATGGATTCTAGGCAAAGTACATCAGCTCACTTATAAAAGGGTTATGAGAAAGGCGTCCTCTGTCTCATTCAAGAATCTTCCATAAATTGAAATATCTTTCAATTATTCTCACTGCATCATGTCTGTCAGAGATAATGCTAGATTCGACTTTATTATCGTTGGTGGTGGTACTGCAGGCAACGTTGTTGCCGGCCGCCTAGCTGAGAACCCCAACGCTAAGATCTTGGTCGTTGAAGCTGGAGCTGGCAATTCGCAAGACATCGAAGAGATCAGAACCCCTTCGGAAGCTATGCAGCTTCGTGACAGCCAGTATGATTGGGCCTACAAGTCAACAATGGTCAAGCGAGACGACTATGAGCGGATTGAAAAGCCCAATACCCGTGGCAAAGCCCTTGGTGGCAGTTCGTCCTTGAACTATTTCACCTGGGTTCCTGGATCAAAGGGTACCTTTGATATGTGGGAGGAGTACGGTGGAAAGGAATGGACTTGGGACCCTCTCGTTCCCTACCTGCGAAAAAGTGCGACCTACCATGATGATGAGAAGGCATATCCACCAGAACTGAAAAAAATCGGCCAAAGCGGCCCGATCCCGATTTCGCACTCCGAACTTATTCCCGAGATGCAACCTTTCCGCGACCTCCTCACCAAAGCGTGGAAATCCACTGGTCAGCCAATCAACGAGAACATTTTCGACGGTCATATGGTTGGCCTAACCCACAGTGTCAACTCGATTTATCAGGGTCGCCGCTCTGGTAGTTTCCTCTATGTCACCGACAAACCAAACATCACCATACTTCCTGAGGCGCACTCGAAGAAGCTTATCGTCGATAATGCTGATAAGACCTGTAAGGGTGTGACTGTCATCACGGCTTCTGGGCAGGAGCTAAATCTCTATGCCACCCGTGAAGTCATCGTCTCCGAAGGTGTCTTCGAGTCCCCTAAGCTGTTGATGCTCAGTGGTATCGGGCCTAGCGCAGAGCTTAAGAAGCACAACATCCCAGTCGTTGTCGACAACGCCCACGTTGGTCAGCATCTGCTAGACCACCCCGGTGTTCCTTTTGTCCTTCGTGTCAAGGATGGCTTTGGTATGGAAGACTATGTCCTCCGTAAGGGAACCCCACAAAACAATCAGGCCATCCAAGCCTACCAGAACAACCACGGCGGTCCATTGGGCTCTGGCTTCCTTGAGATGGTCGGATTCCCCCGAATCGACAAGTACTTGGAAAAAGACCCTCAGTACAGCCAGGCCAAGGCCTCGAATGACAACAAGGACCCATTCTGTCCGTACGGCCAGCCTCACTTCGAGCTTGACTTCGTTTGTCTGTTCGGTAGCGCGTTCCAGTGGCACTACCCTATGCCACGTAAGGGCAACTACATCACGGTTATGGTCGATCTTGTTCGCCCTGTCTCCGACCCCGGTGAGGTCACCCTCAACAGCGCCGACCCGCTGCAGCAACCTAACATCAACCTAAACTACTTTAACAACGACCTCGACATCATCGCTCTCCGTGAAGGTATCAGGTTTTCCTATGATGTCCTGAAGAATGGAGAGGGCTTCAAGGATATCATTGAGGATGAGTATCCCTGGGAGATGCCGCTGCACGACGACGACCTTATGAAGAGGGCCGTCCTAGACCGCTCCCAGACATCTTTCCACCCTTGTGGTACTGCCCGTCTGTCTAAGGATATCAAGCAGGGCGTGGTTGACCCCAGCCTCAAGGTCCATGGCGTTAAAAACCTCCGTGTGATTGACGCATCCGTCATTCCTGTCATTCCCGATTGTCGAATCCAGAACTCTGTGTACATGGTTGGTGAAAAGGGTGCCGATGCCATCAAGCGTGACCACGCAGACTTCTATAAATAAGTTAGTTGGGCTGGATGACCTGAAGTTTTAGTACAAACGTTCGATATGGTGTGATTTTCACTCTTATGAAATTAATTTTTTTTCAAAATTGATGCCTCACTTATCCAAATTGGACCTTTCAAAGCCAATTGACGGTTTTTATACTCCGTGGTAGGCAATGAAAATCCGGACTGCCGTACAGTGAACGTTTGCTAAAATCAACTCAGCCATGCCCTAAATCGCCATATAATAGTAGTAATATGAAAATATGAAAACCTCTCAAGAACTACCAAATTGAAAGTTTGTAGAACATTCGATAAACCGTAATATACAAGATTGTCCAACTCTTTAATTCCAAAGATGGTCATCGGGGAAATGCCTAGAGAACGACGCACAAATCCACCAAATTTCCGACATGGTTCTTCCTTCTGTTGTCACCCGTGCATATTCCAAGGTTGCAGTTCAAAAACAATATCTTCTCATGAGGTATACGATCCCCAATATAACGAGACAAAAAGCAGCGATCACTATAAAACTATCAATCCTTACATGGTCCGCTATATAATTGAATGCCCACCCGTCCGATCCATGCCACGATCTGCCTGCCTCGTGGCGTATCACTGCTCTGGTATATCCATCATCTAACACTCCCATGGTGTCTTGAAGGCTGCCATATAGCCATGCGTACTTCCGAAATGCCGCTGTCACCATCGTGGGTCCGGTTGACCAAAAGACCTGCAGATACGGTATGGGAATGAATCGAGACGTCGCACCGCCGCGTCGCTTGCCCTCGTATAGTGCCCACTGGATGAATGGAGATTCAGGCTCCGCCATGAAGAAATGGTTGCTTAGTCCCCGGGTGCCTGTCGTCGGGGCGAATATGGCCTCGAGGTTGAGACTTTGCAGACACTGTATTTGACTGGCCGAGGTCGGGTAAACGTCGAGGTCTGCATATATGCCTCCTTCTGCGTGAACGACAAGCAACCTGGCCATGTCGGCACGTTGGATATTTTGGGGATAGGCTTCATACGTCGACAAAAGCCAAGTATACTTGCGATTGATCAGCTGGAGGATGGCATCGTCTGTCCAGAGCTTGATTGTGTAGTTTAGGGGCTCGAGCGTGTGCTTCCACTGGTCGCGCGATGCGTTTATTTGCGTGGAGTAGGTTCGGAGGTCGTTTGTTTTCCATATTTGATGGACAACGCTGGGTATTTGTGCGACGGTGACAAAATAAGAGTCGTTGGGGTGCTCGAAGTCAGAGGTAGGGCACGCAGCAATTACATCCATTGAAGCGGATAATTCGCCGGAGTTGGAAAAGGAGGTTGCAAAGTTGAGCAAATGAATGAGGAAGATGAGAACGAGGGACAAAATTCCGACAGCCATGAGCCTTGTCCGCCCTTTCCCCCAAATGATGATCATTATACTAGAATTCCAGTGCCAAACACATGAAGCAGTGAGAACCGGTCATGAAGCGAAAGACTGACTGGCAGTGGGCAAAGAGCAGGGGTTCATAAGAGACTCCTCGTTTGTTTAAACCCCGAATACGTAATAACATGTTGGTATGCAAAAGAATAAGGAGTCTGTGTGTATATTTACGGGGCGATACTGTACACACTGTATGTTCTAATAGTGGCCTCGGTGGTTTAGAAGAGCCACTAGTAGCTGCTTAACTGTCCTTCTAGGAGCACGTAGAACAACAGCCTATGCAATTCGTGTAGTTTCACTGTGAGATGACCATTGGGCCACCAAATCTGGCTTCATATACAGGTGCAATTCTCGTTATCATGCAAGCAGGAGTATAATACCAAGACAGAAGTTGTAACCCCGTAGCAATACCAGATGAGACAGTGCTCTTGGCGCAGCATACGACAAGGTTCGACAGGTTCTCCGGCTCGGTGATCAACAGGGTTATAAGGGTATATTATTAGTTCCGGTGAGCCTGATACTGTTGCCTACCAAGCAGTAGTTAGCAAAACAATCCCCCGATGCTCCAGCTCCCCCAGCCCAAGTTCATAACACGATTACTCGTTTGGCACTTACCTAGAGGGTCCAATGGATTATATCTGCCTCTGCCAACTTGAGCATCACCAATGCACCGGACTTTATTTGTGTATTTGATTAACAGGCTACTAAGGTAAAATATCTATGGATATCAGGTTCTCACAGCGCCTATAAGAAGGAGAAGGAAATCAAAGAGAGATAGATCGTCGATAATCATTTACTGGCGGCCTGAGCCTCCGCCTCCCCGCCTGTATATGCAAGTATGTATTATTCCATGTTCTTTTAAGTTGCTCTACATTTAATCCACGCACTATGCTCCATGTGAATTCGAAATAATTCGTGAAGTACAATTTTATCGGCGCGTTCTCGTTTAATATTTAAACGATAATTTTTTACAAGATTACCTCGGGACTGCAAGTGCAAGGCATAGTCGCGTATAGTGTAATATACAGGAAGGATACTAGCCCTAACAGCTACTAGAATGGCCTATAACGACAGTCTTCGGGAAACAAGATTACTAAATATACTAGCCTGACTAAGCGCCTTGTTAAAACACAATCGGTTGAACCTTTTAGAGTCATACATGTATACGTTCATGATGGGAACTAACTGACTTAGGTCCAGAATAGGTTCCATGATTTTTTAGAAGTTCCTCGTTGAAAATTTCAACATCTCTCGATCCATAGAAGACACGGGAAAAGAGGAACCATCTTATATATTCATTATATAGGAAAGCATAATGATGATGATCACGGTGAAACCTCGGTATTTTGACAAGGCGCAACTGTTTGTAAACCATGTGCGTTGCCACGGTCTGCTTCCATCTGGGATCCAGCCCAAACCGGCTAAGTTCACTCGGATTCAAGTATTCATCGATCGAAAATTTGTATGGTGAGCTAGGCAAGTCACAAGACAACCCATAGGATAAAGTTGATACATCTGTACAGCAAAATTCCCAATATCAGACATGAGGAGTAAGCTTTTACAAAATAGAATCCCTCAATTGTGAAACACCACTTGTATCCACTATTCCGCTTTGGGGGCTTAATAGGAGTGGGGTTGAGCGGCTAATATTAGAGCCGCTTCACAGGCAACATTATATATTATTGTAATCCCATTATGTATTGAATACATTTCGTCCTGGTGTCTCAAGAAGACGCACACATTCTTACTTATATAGATATATCTAACCCTATTGACCAGGGCCACTTAGACTAGAGAATCTTCGGGAAATCATAATCTAGACAGTGACCGCACACCTTATATTGCGATGGTAGTTGTAAAATGTCATCCAAAAACTGACTTTCAGGGACATGAGAGGGTTTAAGATAAGGTAGCGGGTGGGTGGAGATCTGTAGACTTTTGATAGGATCATATTAATAGATTACAGAAATATTGTAGGATGATGTAGAAAAAAGTGAAAGAAAATTGAAAAGAAGAGCGGAGAAAGCCAGGAACGCTCTACATAGTTCGTAACCAGTGAGCTGAAGATATAGTGACTACTCTTTTGCTCTCCCCTCGCTTCACATTCCTTTTAGTTATAATTCTCATCTTTTGGTACATTGATCACATTTGGATAGGCAAGTTGGTTCTCAGTAGACCCATTTTCACATACAATAGTTGCGAGAGGAAGGATCGATATCTCTAAGCAGCGTATCTGTGGAATTGACGGTGTAATATCTATGAACTGGTAGAATCTAAACTCCGAAGCGGAACTCCCGCACCTTCTTCTGATAGTAGAAGGATGCCAACAGCCCAGTGACACCGAGAGCCAGAGGCATAACAGCCCTAGCCTTTGTCTTAATGATCCTAGGAATTGCAGAGCCCAAAAGGAGGATGCTGTTTCCCAGGGCGAGCTCAGTGCCGTAGTCCTTGTTCTCCTTGATCAAATAACCTAGTAACATGGTCAGTCTCGGAATTTTTTGGCACACGTATGATAAAGGTCGCACTTACCAGAATAGGCATATGAGACGCCGAGTCCAACACCGGCAATCAAGGAAGGCGCTGATCGGGTTCGTAGAAACCCAACGGTACCTCCGATAGGCACTAGTTTCGGTCAGAAACGCTAAACAACTTAATCTCGTTGCAGGACTTACAAAGAGCGGCAAGGGTGAAGGAAGGATGTTCAGCCATGATAATATTTAAGCACTTGGAATCAATGTCTTCCAAGGGTATGAAGCTTCGGAATTTAGCTCCCTCTGGTGCCAGGAGCAGATCACGGAGTTCCATGAGTCAGCGAGCCTCGGGATCGGGGCCTCGGGGAACCCGAGCACCGAATCCAGCTAAAAATAAATCACTTTGACAACGACAAACATTTTTTACTCTTGCGTCTTATAATACACCTGAAGCCTACAAATACTACGTGAATTATTATGCCGCAGCATCCTCAGGGGCAAGCAGATCCAGGTTCTCTAGATGCGTGGGTGCGGAATAAGAGGTTGACACTGAAAGCTTCCAGCCCTGGAGCTGATCTTAGTTGGTGGAACCTACGTAGTGGGGTCCGGCAAGAGAGGAGGGAGAGAGTTGTATTCGTCAAGAGGAGCGAGCTCCCAAACTATCTATCTAGCAAGGGTTGATGCCTGAGGCACCAAGGCTCCGACCACCACAACACACCCCCCCAGGCTCAACAACCCGAGGGGATCTTCTCTCACAATTTGCTTCCTGCAGTTTAACTTACTTGCTGCATAGCCTCTTTTGCCATCATTACCTTATTCATGCGCTCAAATATCTCTCTTCCGAGTGGTTTTGTAAGCGCATCGGCAACGTTTTCTTCGCTTGCGATTAATATCAACTGTATGATACCATTTCGCACTGCGTCCCTGACAAAGTGATATCTTCTGTTGACCCACTTCGCTCCTTTTGTGTATGTATCGCTCTTCATTATCGCGACTGCATTATCACTGTCTGTGTGTAGCATGATTGGAAGTGGTTGTTTCTCTCCTAATTGCTCGAGTATTTTGAGTAGCCAGTAGCACTCCCTGATTGCTGCGTCAAAGGCGATGTACTCTGCTGTGGAGCTGCTTCCTGCCACGATATCCTCCTTTCGCGATGACCAACTGATTGGGCCTCCTGCGTAGAAAAAGATAAATCCTTCCGTGCTTTTCCCGTCCTCACAGTCTTGATATGAGGCGTCAACGAAGCCAATAAGGTTTGTGTCATCCTTTCCGAGGAGTATCCCGAGATCAATTGTGCCTTTCACATAGCGATTGAGTTGTTTTAATGCTTCTTGATCCTCTTTTCTTGGTGCAGACGCTCTTCGTTGGAGTTTGTTGACTGCCACTGCAATATCAGGGCGTGACTTGTCGGTTAGCCAGCCTAACTTTCCGATATCCTCCACGTACGCCTTTGTTTCACCAGGCGTAAGAGATGATTTATCGGTCAGTAATTCCTCCGACTCTCGAACGTCTTTTTCGGCGGGATTCCTGGTTATTTCCGGTGATTTGTATGAGGTTTTCATTGGTAGATAGACCTTCGTCGCTTCCTGTAGGCCTGCCTTCACGATTATCTCCTCTGCATATGCCTTCTGGCAAAGGAAAATGCCATTTTTTTTCCGTGATAGACTGCTTCCCAGGAACCTGCTTGGCTTGCCGAGATCTCTGTATTTGAATGGAATAGTCTGTTTAAACCATTGGACTTGCTCCTCTTCTCTTGCTGCGATCAGCGTGTCATCGACATAGAGAAGTAGCCATATCTGTCGCTCTTTGTGGATTAGGATACAGGGTTCATCGACCAGTGGTTCGAATCCCATTCTCCTTAGTTGTGTAATGATAGTTTGATACCATAGATGACCTGCCTGGCGTAGCCCGTAAAGTGCTTGTAGGACGAGGCATACCATTTCTCCATTTTCGCCAGCGATTTCAAATCCAGTAGGTTGTTTCATGTAGATCGTTCGTCCGTCGATGACTGCATTAAGATATGCGGCTGTGTAGTCCACTTGTTCGAGTATCATTCCTTTCTTTGCCACAATGCTTAGGAATAACCTCATCGTTTCTCCACGTGCGACTGGTGCAGTGTTCTCTGTGAAGTCAAAGCCTGGGCGTTGGCGGTTTCCACAGATAACCCATCTCGCTCTGAATTCTAGTACGTTGTTGTCTTTGTCGGTCTTAAGGTCGAAGACCCACTTTCCAGGTAATATTGTGCTTCCTGGTGGTGGTCTCTCCACGATCTCGTAGGCATTTGCTGCCTTTAATTTGCCGATTTGGACCTCTGCTGCTCTTTGCCATTGATCTTTGAATTCTGACTTCATTGCTTCCCCGTGTGTACGAGGGATTTTGACTCTCCACGACTTCAGTTGATCACTTGCTGGCGTAGATCCTTGATCGGGTCCTCTTTCTGTTGATGAGAGGGCGAAACCCACACCGAACGGCGAATTCCCCCAGTAATCACTTGGTAGAAGTCCTATTTCTTGGTCTCCTCCACTTGCCACTGTCTCTTCTACAGCGCATTGTGCTCCTTCATCTCTTCGTCCGTATTTCCCCCACGTGATATCCCCGTATCTCTCTGGAGATTTGCCCTTTGTGGTTCTCGGCGATCGGCGTGGACTCTGGGGTTCGTTTTGTACGGTGGGATGGACGGTTGGACGGAGAATTTCTGGTGGATCCAGGCGTGCTGGATTTCTTGGTGTCACTTCTTGTGAATCTTCCTGTTCTTGAAGCTCTTGGTTTCCCTGTTGTGCCAGCGGAGAAGGCGTTGGAGAAGGGGTTTCTGCTTGGTCTTCTGGTAGGGTAGGGTATGTGATATGGTATGGGATTTGTCGACTTGCTTGCCCCGTGATTGGGGGCGATGCTTGCTGATGAGTGATTTGTGTAGGCGTTTCTGGCGTCCTGCTTCCTCTTAGCAGTTGTAGTCGCTCCTCTAGGGTCCCTTCCTCTGTGTTGTAGAATAACTCAGTTTCCTCTGTCTCCGAGAAATGCTCTTCTCCTGGGTTAACATGCTGATTTAGAGTTCTTGTGGCTTCCCTGATTGTTTTGAATAGAGGCTCTCCAATGGAGAATTCGACTTTCTTCTTTGGTGGTCCATCGATGACTTCTTCTCCGATTTTGATATCGCTTACTCCATCGTATGTTTGTGGACTTCTTCGTTCCCAGAAGACGACATCCCTATGGATTGTGATCTTCTTGGTTTCTGGATTATAAATCCTGTAGCAATGACCGTTATCACCCTCGTATCCTACGAGATATCCGATCCATGCTCTTGGGTCCATTTTTGCGCTTTGAACTCGGGTTTCTTTGGGGTTATTCACGTATGCCTTTGAGTACCATACCCGGAGGAATGATAGATTTATCTCCTCACTTCCTCGAAGGTTCATTGCTTTTCTCCATGAGATGATTGGTGCTTCACCCCCTGAGCGAGTGAGTCGATTTGTGATATAGGCGGCAGTGTTGATCGCCTCTGTCCATAGTTCCTTTGGAGCGCTCGCGTCGATATGCATAGTCCTCGCGATTTGCATCAAATAATGACCACTGTACTCTGCCACACCATTCTGTTCGTGTGCGTACGGGACTGAGGGACTGATAATCATTGACTGCTCCTTCGCCCAGGTGATAAAGCGTGAGAATTCCTTGCCGTTGTCGAGTCTCCATTCTGTAGGACTGTATCCAGCGTGCTCCTTGAATTGCTTTGTCCATTTTTGAAGGTGCTGAGAGGCGTCGCTTTTCTTAGCAATGCATATTGCTATGCGAAATCGTGTTGCGTCGTCTGTGATGACCATCGCATACTCTCTATCGTTTTTGCCTTCTTTGCTTATGCCTTTTGGTTTCACTGGATGGAGATCTACGTGCAGGAGTTGGCCGACTTTTGTTGCTCTCACTTGCTCGGTTCGAGAGACTATTCTCTTCGACTTTCCTTTTCCGCAGGGTTCACAGTCGAAGTGCTCTGATCCGATATCGTATCCCAGTTTCTCTTTATTGATTCTCCCTTTGTAACTTCCTGCGTGGCCTAGTCTTCGGTGTGCTAGCTCCGCAGGGATTGTCACATAGGCGAGTCCTTCTGCTTGCTGGTCAGTGCTTTCCATAGGGTTTGGTTCATCAGCGAGTTCAATGAATGGCACGTTCTTTGCAATAAACGTGTAGCCGATTACTTGCTGTTGACGAACTAACGTCATGTTCTCAATGTTCCAGGTGATTCCTAGGTCTTTCTTTGCTTTTATAAGACCAAGGAGGTTAAACCTATTTCCTGGTTTGTACTCGCAGTGAATCCTCAGTTCGAATCTGCCTCCTGACGGCTTCCTGATTGGGAGTATGATGTCTCCGTGTCCTTCTGCTGTTGCTGATTGACCATTGCTGCTATCCCAACCGGTTGCTGTTCCTGGTTTGTAAGGGGTATAGGTGACGAAAAGGTCTTTGTTTGTGCAGATATGCCATGAAGAACCGGAGTCCAGCACCCAATCAATTCCTGACCGGAGCTGCCGTGTGTTGCTTGCTAGTCCAGATAATGCGACTCCTTCTCTAGCAATTGCTGCTCCTGAGAAGTCGTATATGTCATCATCTTTAGCGGTTGCTGACGTGGCGACGGCGTCGAAATTCGCTTGTTTTGTCCTTTCTGAGGGTTTTCCTGTGAATTGCTGGCTCTTATCCTCCTTGAATTCCTGGTATGTTTTGTAGTACCATAGACCAGGCTTTGGTTTCCAACTTGCAGGGCGATCTTCTCGTACGAGGTGGTAGCAATCCTTGGCATCATGACCATTGGTTCCACAGTAGGAACATGCTCCATTTGTTGACCGTTGCACTTTGTGGTTCCTCCACTCCTTTATGTGGTCTTTGATGCTTTTCCCTTTTAGTGGAGCATTCATCAGTCTGTCCTTCTTGTCGGATTTTGCTTGTCGATTCCGGTTCGTCCCGCTTGCTGCGAGTCCCTCATCAAGGCGGATCTCTTTGATTTTATCGATCATTTCCTGACAGTATTTGAAAAAGTCATTAGTGGTCAGTGTCATTGCTGGATCCACGATCGATTTCAGTTCGTTGTTTTTGATTTCAATGGATCCTCGGAGCTCTGGGATCTCATAGAGTTGCGCTACCATAAGCACAATGGCGTGATAGGCACAGAACGATGCTTTGAGGTCATTTGCTGTGACGAATCGTGTCTTCATCGCCTGTATGAACTCAGTTGTTGTTGAGAACTCTTCTCTTTTTGTGCGTACGAAGCGTATTATTGCTGCGCTTAACGCTCCGTGTCCTTCACCCCGTAGCTGCTTCTTGCAAACTTGCATAAAGTCATCTGCCCAGGTGGTTCTTTCGCCAGTTGACGTGATATCCTTTGCAATCTCGGGATCTAATCCAGCGCGGAGCCATGCTCTCACTTGCATACTGATTTTCATCCACTTCTCTGCATTTTCGGAGTCTCTGTCTGGCTTTTCAACCTCTTTGTTGATCAACCGGTGGAGGTTGTGACCCTGAAGGATCTTGGTGACCGTGTCTAACCAAGTGTCGAAGTCCTCTTTTTCCTTTAGCGGCGGCTCTATTTTATAGAGCACGAAACTGCCAATTTCTGGTAGTCCCTCTCCTTGATCACCACCCAGAGTGGTCTGATCGGCATCCTCCACGCTTGTCCAGTCTTTACCACCCACGGATCCTGGTCCCCAGAGAGGCCTTGCCATTTTGGTTGGTTGGTTGGTTCTTTTGTGAGAAATGCTTGGTAATGAGGTACGCTTTGTTGATGACTCCTTGTTGATGATAAACGGCGACTATCACGATAGATGCTGTACTTCGGACTCGTCGTTTATTGGTTGGTTGGTTGATGAAAGGTGGGGTCTCCCGCTGTGGGTCTCGCCCTATCCAGTCGTTGTGTGCCGCGACTCTCTCTGCGCGGTCGAAATTGATGTTTTTTGATAAATGCCTCCTTTTTCTTGATAAAAAATTGATGATAGCGGGTAAGATAAGGTGCTCATAACCTGGTGGAACCTACGTAGTGGGGTCCGGCAAGAGAGGAGGGAGAGAGTTGTATTCGTCAAGAGGAGCGAGCTCCCAAACTATCTATCTAGCAAGGGTGTCCACACAGGTGGTATTCCGTATTATAAGGGTCCAATCAATGGTATTCAAGTCTCTGTCTTTCTGTATCCACTATTCTGACAATTTATACTATCCTGATTACATAAGAAATATTACTGCATACTGGAGGATTAATAAATCCTCCGGTATTCCGGTATGCTGGTGCTGCATATACCAACACACCCCCTCAGCGGTCCCAGTATGGGATCGCTGTCTCTTCTCATCTAAACCAGCATATAGCTGATATCTACCATCCTCAGCATCCTGAGAAAATTCTCGTGCTTCTGCCGAGATAGCAGCTTCGTCAGTCCGTCGGCAACCATGCTCGCTGTCGCTACCCATCGCACGCGAATCCTTCCTTCCCGAACTTCTTGCCGAAGCCAGTGCCGATGAATATCCACGTGCCGAAGCTTCGTTTCAAACGCCGTGTCTTCGCTCGTCAATAATCCAATCGTCCTTTCGTTGTCGCAATCGATCGTCAGGTGGTGGGATGGAATAAAACCAAGGCTTTCGAGTAGTCGGCGCCACCATTGAACCTGCTTTCCGGCTTCAGATAGCCCGAGCAGCTCGGCTTCCGTGGTGGACGTCGTTACGGTCGGCTGTTTAGTCGCTTTCCAGTCGACCGGGCCTCCGTACGCCTGGCAAATATACCCTGCGGAGCTCTTCCTGTCCTGGTGGTCTCCGTACGAAGCATCGCTAGCGAACTGAATCGAGTCCATTTCGACCTCGGCACTGTACTCGATCGCGAGATTTCGCGTGGTATACAAATACGTAATGACTCTATCAGCAGCTCTCTGGTGTTCCGGTCCAGGATTTGTCAAAAATTGAGCTAATCGTGCGGTCGCTTTTACAGCGTCGGGTCGGGTGATCGTCGTCGCATACCCTGCGGATCCCACTTTCTTCTGGTATAATAGGATCTCCTGTGGGGTTGCGGCACCCGTGTAGGGAGTCAATTCTTCGATAGGCAGTGGTGTATAGACCGGTGGTCGGTCTATCAGATTGAATCGATTCGCGATGCTTGTCACATAGCTATCTTGGCATAGCCATAATTTCTTTTGTCTTCTATCTCGGAGTATCCGGATATTCAAAAACCATGCTGCTTCTCCATGATCTGTCAGTTCCCAGTGCGATTCCAGATCTCTTTCCAGCTGGTCAGCCTGCTTCTTGACGTCAGGATGACTAGCAATTAAGATATCATCCACGTAAAAGAAGACTAAAATTCCATCCCCAGTAAACACACAGGGATCCTCGGGTGCTTGCTTTAGTCCTAGCTTTCGTAGCACCTTCGAAGCTTCTTGCTGCCATAGTCTCGGCGAGATCCGTAGTCCGTACAGTGCTCGCCGTAACTTCCAGCACTTCCCTGGGATCTGAAATCCTTCTGGCATATGCGAGTACGTCTCTTGCTCCAGCTTGCTATTCAAGAACGCGGTAACAGCGTCCCGCTGTCGCAGATTCAGATCAAATGCGGCGACCAAAGCGAAGATCATCCTTGCGGTCCTTGCTGCTAGTGTCGCAGCTCTCTTTTCCTGGTACGTGATCGTTTCGAGGTCTCCACGTACGCAAATGCGGGCTTTGAACTTCACCAGGTATCCGTCCGCATCAAATTTGTAGGTAAAGACCCACATTAACGGCAGTATCTGTACTCCTCGGTCTCTTGGTTTCTCGATAACCTCAAACGTCTCTTTCTCGGCTAACGACCTTATTTCCTTCGCTGCTGCTGCGAGAAATCCTTGCTGAAAAGGGTGATTCAGGACCTCTTTCCAGTGTTTCGGGGGCGGTGGAAGGTCGTCTCGGTGACGACGGGTGTCTGGTTTCTCGGCGTATAAACCTGCCGCGAAAGCGTGTAGGAAGGCGGGCGGTTCTTCTCCTTCTGGAGCTATCTTGATCGTAGTCGCGTAGGCGTAATCGTCATCTCTTCGTGCTCTGCGCGTACGACTTCCTGTCAGTATGTTACTGACGTCTACACTGCTGTTGATTTCTCTGCTTGGTGCTAGCAATTCAGATTGTAGCTGTCTTTCTAGATCGTCCTCTTCACTTTCATTGGTCCGATCTTCTTCTTGCTGGGCCTGGTCTTCTATTAGATGATCATCCTGATCACCTATATCCACCCCCTGACCAGGGTCAGCGTCCGATTCGGGCTCGTGCGGAGGCGTATTCGGCAGCGGGGGTAGGTCCTCGGCCGGGAAAGCACCTGGCACTGCTTTCTGGGGTTCGCTTCTCTCTTGGATTTCACCTATCGCCATTCTCGGCGGTCCTATCGGGGTAGGCATGCTTGCCTGGGTACTCACCCCCTGAGGTGGGGTAGTATCTCTCACCTCCTGACTTAGGGTGGTGCGAATAGCCTCATTTTCTTTATCTTCGGGCCGAAAGGTCTCGTTATCTTCGTTTTCGTCTTCATCCCGCGGGGCTTCTGGTGGTGGGGGAGCTTGCTGCTCGCGATCTTCCTGGTCATCTTCCTCGCGAGTCCTTTCCAGTATCCCGACAGGTTCCCGACTCGCTAATTCACGGTTTACCAGTTCGGTAATCTCAGCGAGTGAGATCTCTTCTGGCTCCTTGGCTAGCGGCATAGGAATCGGCTGGAATTTCTCATAATCCGGTGTGTATTTACGAGATTCATCTATGATAGCATCCCTGATATGCCTCACTTTTCCTGAGTGTGGAAACCAGATCTGATAGATATTGGACGCCACGTATCCAACTAGGAATCCAACTTCTGCGCGAGGATTCATCTTATCTGACTTCACCTGGTGTTCAATTCGACAGTACGCTAAGCTTCCGTATAACCTCACTTTCGCGAGATTGATTCGGGGTGGAATCGCGCCCTTTAAGAACTCCTTCCGCACTTCCTCCCACGGTATGATCCACCGATTCTCGGAAGCAATGTACGTCGGGGTACGGTTCAGCATCCACACGGCGGCACCGGCGAAATAGGGCCATAATTCCTTCGGAAGCTTCCCTTCGAGCGCTAGCATCCGCATTCGGACGATTATCATGCCACCAGATCTCTCGGCGTATCCGTTCATTTCCGCGTGTGCTGGCGGGGTATGATAGATTAGGATACCGTCGCTCGTTAGACTGTATTCGGCCTTCTTGCCTGCTGAAAGCTCATTGTCGTAGTGAAATGCCTTGATAGGCAAATTCCACTGATTCTTAGCTAGTTCAACAAACTGGTTGATAGCTAACTGACACTCTGGTTTCATCTCGTGTGTCATCAGCCAGTGAAATCTAACTCCCTCGATATAGAAGTGAGAGATCCATCTATGCTTATTGTACGCTGGCGGTAGCTGTATCAGATCGAAATGAATCCTTCCGAATCGTCCAAACGTGCGTCCTATAGGCCGTCGAGAGATCTGTCTCGGTGCCCTCCCGATACAACACGTCGCGCACAGTGGTGCTTCTTCTCCTATCGGTACCGATCTCGATCCCGACGTCGCTGTCGGCGTTGTCAGCTTCTCTTCCTGGATATTGACACCGTCGACCATTGTAGCAAGCTTTGCTACCGTCTTCCGATCGATATGCGCGAACCTTCTATGCCAGAGCTCCACCGAAGCCTTCGATTCCTGCGTCTTGACTGACTTCCTCGGTGTCGATGCTGCTCTTTGCGGGGTAGCAGCGAATGCTTGCTGTGGGGGGAGCGCTTCGTCGGGCTGGTCAAAAATCCATAGATCAAATTGGTCCCATAATCGTACGCTAACGACCGGGTTCTTATTAGGGTCTCGGATACAGTTCGTCTCCTGGCACCACGTGCCACCCTTCTTCTTCAATTGCGCGTACGACACCAGGTTGGTGTGAAACGTCGGCGAATAGAGTGCGTCGCTTAACGTGATCTCCATTCGTCCCCTCTGGGGGTGCTTTCCTATCAAGCGGACCGTGCCTCGACCGAGTACTCGGGTAGATCCATCTCCCGTCTTCAATTCTATCGCGTCGGGCCGAAGGTTAATGAATAGGTCCTTGTTATTGCACACGTGCGCGCTCGATCCCGAATCGAGGATCCATCTATCTCGAAGCGACACCTCGCTAGCGGATAGGGCATGCTTCGTCATCGTAATAAAGCTGGTTAGGACATTGGCCGATTTAACCTTCGGCTCGGGCCGGTCGGCTTTCGGTTTAGCTCCTGCTATCGTCTTGTCCACCCACTTCTTCCATCCTGGATCCTTTGACAGTTGCTCATTTGCGCGGTCCACCTTTCTCTGGTCTATAGGCTTCCCTTCCGGGCGGATTGCTTCATTCACAGTCCAGCACGTACGCACAGAATGCTGTGGGTGCCTATCGCCGCAGGGACACCTCCGTTTCTCGTACGGGGTATCCGGCTTCGCTTCTTGATAACCTTGCCAGGTAGAGAATGCGCTTTTCGGGGCGTTTGTCGACGACACTGTCTTCACACCAATATCGTTGTTCATCGCACGGAAGGACTCGATAAGGACTCGAGTATCGACCGGCTTCCCATCAGCGACAATGTCCTGGTATTGTGCTTGCCACCACATTGGCAGTACGTCCTTTACTGCGTATACAAAGTCTCGATTCGGATTACTATCATCGATTCCAAGACTAATCGTCAATTCTCTCATCGAGTCCCACTTCTGGATCCATTGCTCGATATCTCCCGTTGGTCTTTGGGTAGAGAAATATCTCCATTTCATTCGAATCTCTTCTCGGTACGTGACCGTCTGGGCGAAACGGGATTTCAAATAGACCAGTCTCTCATAAGGCGTCTCCAGCGGTATAATAGCTAGATGGTGTACCGGGTCTAGGTATATCAAGATATACTCGTTGACATCGGCCAGTCCTTTCGCCTCGCTTTGCCATCGGGCATACTTGATTTTAAAAAGGTCCATCCGATCTCTCCAGGTTTTCTTTTCCTCTGCATCCCCCTCCTCGGGATACTCGGGGACTGTCGGTTCGGTAAGGAGGTCGGGCCGAATTGGTGGCTTCTCTATCGCGGTAGATACAGCAGCGATCTCAGCCATCACAGCTTCAGGGTCACACAGCTCCCATACACCTTTCTGCCTCGCGTACGACCTCACTCTCGTGAACCAGGTACGCCATTGCGTTTCATCCTTCAGTTTTTCGCCCTTCGTGGCGGAGAGAATCGATGCTGTCTCCATTGCTAGATACAATTCAGGGGTAGCTGGGAATAGCTCCACAATTGCTCTTTTCGGCAGCTTCAGGGGTTCAATCGTGCTGTGTTTCGACTACAGCAGGTTCATTCAGTGCGATCCGGGCTCATAACTGTCCACACAGGTGGTATTCCGTATTATAAGGGTCCAATCAATGGTATTCAAGTCTCTGTCTTTCTGTATCCACTATTCTGACAATTTATACTATCCTGATTACATAAGAAATATTACTGCATACTGGAGGATTAATAAATCCTCCGGTATTCCGGTATGCTGGTGCTGCATATACCAACAAAGGGTTGATGCCTGAGGCACCAAGGCTCCGACCACCACAACATTAGTTGATAACATATAACGTAAGTTGTGAATTCTGAGCAACCTCCGAAGTATTTTATTTCTGTAACTTTTTCTGCCATCTTCTACCTCCCGGGAAATTTTTCGCTAAACAATTTGAGCCGAACCTTTGCCTACAAGCTATTTCCAACCCTGAAAATGAGTTTTGAGAAACACGATGAAATACAGCTCGGCGAAAAGGGACATGAACTTCACTCTGTCAAATCTGGTATCGTTTGCCTAGATAGCCACCAGTTCCGACTCAATTATGACGTACTGCAAGACGTGACAAACTTGAAGAACTCTTTGACCAAATTCGACAAGTCAAGTATGAAGAAGTACCGAGTCATATTAAAGCCTATAAAGTCGGAATTGGTGAAGCTCTTGCGGATGGAAGTCAGGATGCACCGATAAGCGAATAAGCTAGGTGACGATTTAACTCATATTTCTGTTACGGAATATATATGAAGCAGAAACGACGGCAGAGGATGTAGGACGTAATCAATTGAAATGAGTCTGAATGCGGGAAAGTTCCTTTCATTGCTTCTTCGAACTACATTTTGTATGATCTAAGCTTCTATACTTCTATCATATCACATATATTCCATGGTACTCACGGATTCTCAGTAAGAATACGGTAAGTGATGATATCTCTCAGGGTTGGATTCCAAACCATTAACACGTTTGAGTTGATGCCGGGCATTACCATTCACACAATGCTCCGCGGCAAACCGTATGCGACAGGATTTCTTGAGTATTCATACCATCTTGTCATCCAAGTTTTTCCTTGCCTAATGACACAGGTTCTGGTATTTGCATATACCTTTCCGCATCTTTACCCTGACTTATCGATTTTAAAGGTTTAACTCTGCACTGGTATCAGACATACTGTAAATATGCCACAGGACTACCAGGAGTATTAAAGATTGCAACTTGTATGTGTAGTCTTGCTGTGATATGTTTTCCTGTAGATGCTTCTCATTTGCTCTAGCTCTCACTATTGGTTATAAATGTTATGAAGGAACAGATATTCCAGTTTTAACTCATTACTGTGGTGTTATTTTAGAGTGAGGACTGTTGGGCGGAGTGGGTGTGGGTGCCTTGCTACCTCAGGCCTCCACCTCCACACTTATATGGCGCATTGAGAGGTCCAATAATTCCAAACTCTGTATTTTCTCAGAAGCAGTGTTTCTCCAGGCTCCGGTCCAACTTTTTTTCTGGGTCAATATGCTTGATGAAATATAGAGAGAAATCGGACTTCCTATCCACCAAGTTCTATACATGTTCTTTCTTTTTCTTGTAGTTCTAGAATCTGGGTTAGTCATGCAGCCCAGCAACCCCCCTTTTTCAGCCGCAAACAAAGAATGAGAATTGCCAAGGTGCGGACGCGGTGAAAATGGGCACCATAGAAACCAAATAGTTAAATAGGCCTAACCGTTTGTTTTGCTGATTAATTGGCGTTTGGTTAAAACAAACGCGTTTGAATACTATGTATATAAGCGGGTGGGTGCGCCGCCCACTTATGTGTGCAGCTCGCAAGTAAATTACAGTACCAAAAATATGTGTCGTAGCCCTGGAGATATTGCAGCGAATTCACCATAGTAGCGCGTTCACCATGGCAGCGCGTTCACCATGGCAGCTCGTCATGGCAACACGCGAGTAAGTATTACGGTATGTGAGTTTATAAACTCAGTCCCTCCCAGCTTTTCTACTGCTCACTTTTTTTCTATTCCTCCTGCATCTCTTCCGGTACCTCGGATCTTTCCAATTTTCAGCTGTTTGGGCGAAGAACCAAAGTGTCACATTCACCATGGAGAATTATCAGAAAATTGAGAAAGCCGGTGAAGGTGACATTTCTTTTTGCCGCGCCAGTTGGCATGGTTACCTCTGTCCTAGCTGACGGATGTCCCTATTACCACAGGAGCCTACGGTGTCGTCTACAAGGCTCGAGAGCTGAAACATCCTAACCGTATCGTTGCTCTGAAAAAGGTCCGACTCAATGCCGAGGATGACGGAGTCCCTGCTACAGCCATGCGAGAAATCTCCCTTCTCAAAGAAATGAAGGACCCTAGTATTGTCCAGTTGCTGAATATTGTACATGCCGATAGCCACAACCTCTATCTTGTCATGGAGTTCTTAGACATGGACCTGAAGAAATATATAGACTCTCTGCCTGTCAGCGAAGGTGGCCGCGGCAGACCTCTACCAAACGGATTCAGACCGAGACTCGGTCTAGACGAAGCGATAGTGAAAAAGTTCATGGCACAACTGCTTGAGGGAGTCCGCTATTGCCACGGTCATCGTATTCTACATCGTGATTTAAAGCCGCAGAACTTGCTCATTGACCGCGAGGGAACCCTGAAATTGGCTGACTTCGGACTGGCTCGAGCTTTCCGTATTCCGCTGAGGAAGTATACTCATGAGGTAACCACGCCCCCAGTCAAAGCGAAATGATCTAAACTCTTGAATGTTAACATTCATCTAATAAGATTGTGACCTTATGGTATCGTTCCCCCGAAATTCTTCTTGGGGGTCCTCGGTACTCCACCGGCGTCGATATGTGGTCTGTGGGAGCTATTTTCGCTGAGATGTGCACCCGCCGGCCGCTCGTCCCTGGTGACTCGGAGATTGACCAAATCTTCCAGATATTCCGGTAAACACTTTTTTTCCGCATCTATATAATGGAATTGACTTTTCAATTTGATAGTCTCCTTGGTACTCCGGACGAAGAGAACTGGCCCGGTGTCACTGCGTACCCCGACTACAAAGCCACTTTCCCCAAATGGAAGCGGATCCGCACCATTCTAGTTCCAGGCCTAGAGAGTGCTGGCTGCGAGCTACTAGATGCTCTTCTCCAATATGACCCCGCGACAAGACTTTCCGCAAAGCAGGCTTGCCTCCATCATTACTTTCCTAATGGAAGTTCATACTACTCCGGGCGCATCCACCCTAGATATATTGGGACCTGATTCCCAGATAGTTGCTTTTCTACAATCAACTCTCTCGTCTTGGTTCGATTCCTTCTAAAGTAGAATATGAATAGGAAGAAACTATGGAAGTCTAGATACTGTAGTTATGTGACTATGGAAGACTATCTCAACAGACATCATCAATTCAGTCTGAACTGAACTACGGACTTCAAATGTTTTGCTTTTGTTCTCTGAACTACGTAAGGCATATTAAACCACAAACAAGTCCCAGCTCAAACCATAATATTCACACCATCCGCAGGTGGTACTCAGACTTCTTCGGCGTCCCTCCCACAAGCCCCCGGAGTTTTTCATCGGGTCCAGGCCCCCTCGGAGTGGCCTTGGAGCCCAAATCAGTAAATCTCTATTTTGGGGATTTTAATGGTACCGTCAATCGGGATTTGACCATAGATTTGCATGAAGCCCTGCTGCGCAGGGTTGAGAAGATTGTGGCAAGAGAATTTGATAGCAGCAAACGGCGGACCCAACCCTTGGTCGCATTCCAACTGAGTCATTGTCTGATACTCTTCTGATAGCTTTTCATCGAGGACAAATGTCTTAGCGGGTAAGGCGGAAGGGTGGTCAAGCCGAACTTCGGTCTCTTACGGACTCGACGAAGTATTGATTATGGCTTGTCATGAGGCTTGAATTAGCTGTGCAGAAGTCAATCGAATGATGGAGAAGTGTCAGAAATACCTTTAAAGCCGCTTGATAGCTTTTTGATAAATGTCGAATACTAAGTTGAATAGATGTGTAGAATGGGGCTATCACCCAACGACGACGATTTTCCTGCACCTCAATTGGGTCGGCTTTTGAATGATAGCCGTGCCAAACGCACCACATGGGAACTCGCAGTTCCGTACTCAACGCTACATCCTCGCATGGTGATTCTCACCCTACCCTCATCACCAATAACCACCTAACCACTTCCACACTTTGACTTCATGGATCTCTCCCATAGACTATCTGATACATACGACCATAGGGTGTGGAAAACAGGGCTTCCCGTCCGCTCAGCCGTACTTAAGCCACACGCCGGTGAGTTAGTAGTTGGGTGGGTGACCACCAGCGAATCCTCACTGTTGTATGTTTTTTAGTTTTAATTTTTTTAATTTTGCAATTTTCCGACCCTCTTGCAGTTGTGGCTTTCGTGAATTGGAAATGGAAAGCGTGTTATTGGGGGCTTCGGGGTTACCTCAAGAATATGGTAGATGATTATGCTTAGACAAGGTAGGAGAAGCAATGTGCCTAGTTCCTTGGCAGCCGTACTGTTGAAAGCCTGCTCGGGGAATCGTATACCTCCAAAGAAAAAGCCCATCCCAAGCATAAAGTGCCTATTTGAAAGCATGTTCCCGATAAGAGAATGGAAAAGCGAACTCGGGTGTGATAGCGAAATAAGCTAATAAGAGTGAAAAGGCCTCGTCGCTTGCCTGTAGGAGTGTACAGCGTATAGCTACGTTCAGTGATTATACAACTAGTACATTGCGATTAAGCGAAAGATAACCCCTTCTCGATCATCTCCAAGGCTATATATAATTCCTAATGTAACGAGAATTACATTCCTTGGATAATACATATATAATTGATTTGAATGTAGCTCCCAGCCAACTATAAGACTTTAAGGAGATCACTTGTCACGAATTTTGGAAGTTGATCCACAAGATCTATTTTCTCCGCAAATTCCACCAAATCAATGGCTATGCTCACGTCCCGATTTGCAGCATGATCCACCCATAGCAGCTCTAGCCATGTTTGCACGACTCATTTGACGAGGCTCACGAGGCTTGTATACAAATTCGGGCTCAGGGGCTGCATCTCGGGGCCCTTTGCCGAATTTCCCTCCCTTGGAGTGCTTAATTTTCTGCTTGTAGATCGTGTTAAGCCAGTTGGCCAGTCGGTAACCGCCCTTAGCAATCTGGATCTCGATCGTGCCGATGACAGAGTTGTAGTATGTCGGGTAGAGATCGCCAGTCTGGAGGGCAGCAGCTCCATCCGGCATGACAACGGTACAGATATAAGCATTGGCATCGGCCGCCCATCGAGTGGCACTCTTGATAGTATTTCCAATATCATCCCCTTTGGTCCATTTCTTAGCTTCCTTCTTGTAGCTACCAGCCTTAATCTCATGGACCAAGCTTTCAGCCCATCCCTGCGCATCTTCGAGCGAGCTACCGCCAACCAGCTTTTGGGGTATGTATGTATCCCAGTCCGAATGCAGGTTGTCAGTGTAGTTGTCGAAAGTGACCTCGATACCATTTCCGCCAACCTCGTAGTTCTCGTCGTGCAGGGGCTGGACGAGATCACCAATGATGTGCACGAGGAATCTAAGTGCTTCGGCGGTTTCGGGGGTGCTTAGTTTAAGATTGCCTGCACGCTGGGTGTAATTGGCAATGGCGGAGATCGAGCAGCCTTCGGCTGGACAGTCGCGCTCATAGTCCACGTTGCAGCTTGTAGGCGGGTCATCCATGGCATCAATATAGTGCAATGGGGCTGACCATTTACCCTCATCTGTCTTACGATAGCTGTCCGCCCAAGAAGCAATGTTTGCTAGGTATGAGTCAGAGGTATCGTTGAGGACTGTTTTTGCCCTTGAAAAACATTAGCGTTGTATACTCTCATTACTATGAAGCTCTTTGGGAGAATTTACCATTTTGCGGCTTCAGGAGACATGTAATGTTGTGCAACATAAGCCACTGTGGCATGGCCCAATGCACCCCATGCATTTGCCCCATGAATCACCCCGAAGGTGACGAAAGCAACCCTTGATAGAGACACCATTGTTGGGAGACGTTTGGGTGAGACTCAGTATAAAGTTCGCGTCTGTTCATGAAAGCCATGGTTGCAACTCCGTTTGCATTAAATAGTTTCGAATACCGGCGGTTTCCACTTGACGCGGGTCACATTGTCATGGAGTTAGCCGTGTTGCAGCAAGAAAAAGAGCAGCTCATAGGCTTGTCAGGAGATAACAACATAATCATTGGCAGCAAGGGGTATGATTCGCCTCCGAAATTGCGAACTAGATTGCGGGGTCGGCACTAAACATCAGAGCCGCCGGAGTCCACCGGAGGTGAGGCCCAAATGGCTATCTAGGTTCCAATCTGTAATTAATATATGAGATAATAGATTGTGACAGAGACAGGGGTACGAAGTACTCCGTACGGGGTAGACAACACCAGGTCTGGGAATAAAACTCGGGAATTATTATCCAAACAGGAGACAAAACAGTGCTGGGATATCCCCGCGTAAAAAGCCATTATACTTATTTTTCTTTTGAAAGTGAAGTCTTTGATTCATAGAATGCAGGAGTGTGATGACCTTGTATAGAACTAGCATTCCTTCACATGACACAGTCATTCTGTCGCTCGGTTGTTGCTTGATAACCACACCAATCTCATCCGATTAACGGAAGATGATCAAGTGTTGTGACCCCGTAATGAAAAATGCGCAATGGTTAGTGCGCGTGCGAGTCGCGTCTTGCAAACTTCGCATGGTTTGTCGATGTCGTAAATTAAGTTGTCAGGCCAGTGGTTTGGGTCAAAAGGGTGTAGGTCATGTCTGTATCGTCCAGTCGGCAATTCTTTGACCGCAATGACTCTGCTGTGGGATTTTGAGGGGGTTTACATCTGAATCAGGCGGCCCACTAGTTTTCCAACGAGACGCTAAACGGATACTCAGATGTTTATCATTGAAGATCGCATCAGTCCCGTTATCACCGTCGGATTGCCATTATTCCAACTTCACGCAGCCATTCTCTTGTTTGTACGCGGCGTACGTCACACATTTCACATTTTGGAAATCCCTTCTTCTCCTTGGGAATCTTTTGGGACTTCTCATCCTTGCCTTTCTTCAAACTTTCACAAGATGGGTTTCGCTCCTTTCGCTCCTCTGCCTGCACCCACAAAGGAGCTGTATGACAAACTAAAAGCTCATCGGACCTGGGGATATGTCATCTATCGCACCACCTATTCCCCTCAATCTGACGCCCACTTCTCCACTGTCGTCAAGTATCTCGAAGCTTGTATTAAAAGATCATTCTTCAGAGAATGCAAATGGAATAGTAAGTCGTCACCCGGGGTAAATCCCACCCTTTATCAGGAAATCTGGGCGCAACATAGTTCAACCATCATGGAAGATGCGGCGCAATTCGATGGTGCCTCGCTTGATATAATACGCGCTCACTTTGAGGCCTGGGTCGATGCACAGGGTCAGCGCGATAAATTCAATAAATATCGAATGTGTATGATCATTGATGAGGAATGCCTGCAGACGCTGCTAGGCACTTCGGCGGAGGCCTTAGAGCAGGACACCAATAACGAAAGATATAAGACAGTGCGTTATGTGAAGGTCCTCGAAGCGTGGCCTGAAATCGATCAATATGACACCTTTCCGGGATGGATGAAATGTCGTTCGCTGCTGCTATGGGATCTATGGTTGATGATGTGCGATTTCGACGAGATGAGAATGTCCTGGGAAAAGATTGGTGCAGAAGATGATGGGGTGTATTGCGGTTGAATGGTGAAGAGTTAAAGTTACTAGAGATACGAAATTTTGACTTCTATCGTCGTGATATCACTCGATACAAGGCAGTGGGAATAGAATAATCGGCAACTTGACCTAATACTTGGGTTTAAGCAAATTATCCTCTAAGTTAGCCCTGTTTTAGATCGATTTATACCTATTGAAATGAGAAGAGCGCTATAGCGGTCCGACATCGCAGACAGGACGATGAGAAGGCTACGACACCGAGGGGAGCAGTGGTGGGCACATGGGATGACCTATGAAGCCACAATAGGAAACAGATGCTGAATTACAAGGAGTGTGTAAACCATTGTCAAATTTGGCCTTAAACGGCTACCGTATGCGAGGCTGAAAGGTGTTGACCTGAACTTCTATTTCCAAAATTTTCGGGCTCGAAATTGTTGCGAGTATCTCAGAATAATTCAGGGTAAAACCAACAGCAATGAAGGCCATCAAGCCCAGAAGATGAGTCCATATGTTTATTGCTTTCATGTGTAAACAACGCCACAGACGCAAAGATCGTTTGTAACTACCCTTTATCAAGCCTTTACATGCAACAAGTCATAATGCCGTTCGCTTCAACCCCCCAGCCGCTAAAAAAGGGTCTGCTGTTTGTATCAGGTAATCGCTTTTGTATCTATACTGTCTTCTCGCAACCGATTATAAGCAGTGGAAATTTGTAGAAAGCTTGCAGACAAGAATATCAGACTTGGAAATAAATGCTATGGCCTCGCAACGAAGGGAAACTAATAACAGCCACATTGAAGAGTCGATCAAAGGACATAGAGCTGGACGGATTATTAAGGATTGATATTTGGATGGTGAATCTGTACTATGTATGTTTCGGTGCGTCCGTTTTTAGATATTTGCCCAGGCATAAACTGAAGTGGTCACCTATACTAAATCACAAACGCGCCTTCCCTAACCAGACACTTGTCATAGGGTTGCAACCTGAAAGGAAAACTGGTGTCAAATAAACTGGGCTTTTCTTCTTTTCTTCGCTGGAATTTACATTTCATATAAACTCTATCTAGTGCTGCGCTGAAGCCTCGACCCGATCCTGAACCGACTTAGCAATAGAAGGACGTTCCTGCACCCGCTTCAACCAAGCAGCAACATTTGGGAAATCCTTCGCCGTATCAATCTCAAGCTGGATAGTAACAAGATACCAAGGAAGGAAAGCAACATCGGCATATGAGAATTTATCACCGACAAGATACTGCTTCCCCTGGAGGGTGCGGTCAAGCACACCAGATACACGACGGATTTCGTTGACGTAGCGGTCGATTGCGCTCTGTAGCTTCTCTGGGTGGTACCGGCTGAACCAAACAGCCTGGCCGAAGTATGGACCTTGACCGGACATCTGGAAATGAAGCCATTGCTTGGCGAGATAGTAATCTTTAGAACCGGCGGCAAAGCTGATCGAGTTCTGTTTATCATATGTGTCAATCAGGTATTCGATAATCGCGCCGGATTCCCAGAGCGTGGTGTCGGTGTTTGGGTCTTCGATTGCGGGGACGCGGCCGTTGGGATTGATGGACTCGTATGCTTCTTTCTTCATGTCTGGGAAGGTGATGATCTTGTGTGTGTAGGGAACATTCAGCTCTTCCAGGATCATGATCACCTTCCAGGGATTGGGACCTGGGCCATGGCCCCAGACGGTGATGGGCTTGAGAGACATTGTTTGGTGGGGTGGTTATTTGGATTGAAGAGAAATAAAAGAGGGAGGGGAATTGAAATACCAGACCAGGAACTGGAACTCTCTTAAGCTAATCTTCCATCCCCTCACCCCACTATTCCAACTCGATTATTCATCTTGTTTAGTGGAAGGTTGCAAGGAGGTTCCACGATATTGTGCACAGGTGGAACCTGATTACAAATGGTCCAATGGGCACCAGGGGTGACACGGAAACTTCCAGAGCGCGGAATTGGATTCCTCTATGTTGTTGCTAGGTAGTTGGAATGCATCGTGGTTACCGACAAGGACCAGTGTTGCCGCCAACCTGAACTGCCGGGGCGTCTGCCATGGGGCCGACGGGTGGACCCCCCGGCCTCACTAAATCCTTAGTAATCATATTGGGGGTCCAATGTTGACCTCAGGAACGACCACATCAAAGCTCATCTAAGGGAATGACTATAAAATAACTCGGAAGGACCCAATTTCAAAGATCAGTGCTCATATGAAAAGCACACATAGGTGATACTTTGGCGGTTCATGACTCAGAACGAACATTCCAAGATGGATTACAGCGAAATCCCAGGGATTGACTTTTTCTGGTATTTGAGAGAAAGTTTGACGCATCATGACTCTGCGCCATTATCTGGGGCTCAAAAACCCGCGACTGCACCATAATCGTAATAGTGGGAACTCGGTGGATATATACTGCTTCCACGGCCGTAGGGCGTGTTAGGATATCAAAAGAGATAAGGGGAGATCATTATTCTGATCGAGTGGAATATAACGGAGTAAAACAAGGCTCCCAAGCCTCGGACTCGGTCATCGGACTACGACACCCAGCCGGAACTAGAAAATTGGCTTATTAATTTCCAGTCCCGCTCAGCTGGGTGCCCATCGGACTAACACCCCCAAATGTATACAACATATGCCCCCATGCTTGCATGGCTTTGCAAATTATCTATAGCAGTGTTTTGAATCTAAAATGATATCTCAGATTATAAATCAATCAGTCGGAATTTGAAAATATAGTATCGGAATAAAAAATCTACTTCGGACTAACATCGGACTACCCACACATGTTCTATTCTGCACTAGTAAATTCTAGTCATTTTATCCTTTCTTCTTTTAAGCTTTGTAGAGATGCAAACACCCTTGAGTCATCCCAAGCCACTTCGTAAATCGCAACTGAGCCTCGACTTGGGCATTCGTATTCGTAGAATCAAGCACATCAGTTGATCTCGGGATCTACGCACCCTTCGATTTGTAAGGATTTATCCTTTTCACCAGCTCTAGCAGGCCGTTAGCCAACACGAAAGGCAATCCTTGCACATTCCGGAACACGCTATGTAGGATACTTGAAAAAATATGTGCCTAGATCGCGTAGATCGCCATCTTTAGTTCATTAAAGCTCTTTCGGACAAGATCTAGACTTCAACTCCGAAACACGAAAACCTCTGAATTAGTGGCCTAACACGTGGATAGTAAAAATCAAAGCCATACGAGAACTAAAAATTAACTGCGCCCTTCCGCAGCGATCTTTCTGAACGTGGTAGTCTTTACGAGTTGTATATCAAAGGGCGTGCAAATAATACACCGCATTAAGAACCCACACACTGTTCGGTGTCATCATTTAGGTCTAGAGGATGAGCACACATGTCCGAGAGAATACGCGGCTTGATTTATCAGATATTCTTGGCTTTCCACAGTCGCAAATTCCATTGCATAATTCTAATTAACTCATCATACATTCTTAGTTATCCACCCAAGCCTCTAACCTCGTGTAGGTCCCCTGCCAGTAAAACTTCAACTCCGACCCTTACTCCGATTCTTAGTGGCTCCACACATGGGGGGCGCTGTGACTACGCTGTGACTACTGACGTCTTTAGGCTATGCTGTATGGATTTTACGGTGCAAATATTCTAGACTCGATGTATACTATGGCTGACGTAGTGGGGCTCAAGCCTTATGAGTTTTTTTTTTTCGGAGTGACAACCCTACGGAGTGGATAATGTGTAGTGAGCACCCAACACTATATAAAGACCAATTGATATCTCGTAGAAAGAGACATTCTATTCCAATCCATTCCAAAGCATCAGATCCCAAAGATCAAAAAAGATCCTTCTCGCATCTTGCTCCGAGCTATAAACGTCAAACCAACTCATACTTCGTTATACATCCATCGTCAACGAACCCTCCAAACCCTCAAGCAATCTCTCAAGATATCCCAAAGCACACGTACAAAGCTTCAAACACTATCCGAGATGTTCTCCAAATCCTCCAACTCGTCTTCAAAGACTACATCGAGCGCAGCCTCAACACACTCCACCGTCTCCACTGCCACAACTCTCAATACACGCGACTCATCAGTCAAGAATCACAAGTGGTACTCGCTAGGCTCGAAGTCTTCGGGCTCTAATTCCAAGAATGATGCTGCTAGCATCGAGAAGAAGCGATTGCACAACGAGGCTCTTGCCAACTACCTCAGCATGCGCTAAATGGCTTCGAAACATCCGATGTATTTGCTGTCTCGATTGCTATTATACCGACTCGATCCACTCACGATACATGGATTAGATGTTTTGGTGCTATCTTTTTTTGGCCTTTTGTCTGCTTTTGTGCTTGGCTTGTTGAATTTGCTTCGATGATATGCGCTGCGTCGATTGCTGGGTGCATGTTTTCGCCCCTTTCGCTTCAACGATGGAATGATTTGGATACCATATACTGTGTTTAATAATTTGTGATTTGCATTTATGTCTGTGTTTTTGTCTTGGCCACTTTCAGCAGTCGTTGTCCGGACTGTTTGGCTGGTTTGCTTCAAGTAGTTGGTGTTCTCTATGCCTGGAAATACAGCAACATCTTTCGTTTAATTCTTTCTCAAAAATTATTCTCATTCAAGACAAGTTCTTCTCCATTTCAAATATTGAGTCATGTAGTAGTTATGTAGCATCTGGTATTCAATACCTCGTATGAAACAGCAATCATTATGGAAGGTATGCAACAAATGCATTAAAAACAAAAACTCCAGCACACCATGACAAACGCTCAAAGGAGGCAACTTGGAACTCTATGCATATATTACAACCCAGCCATCAACTCTCCCATAGATATGGGTTTCCGGACCGCATTTGAGAAACCTTCGTGGAAGGTAACCCAGACTTTCCGTCCAGCCTTGGACGACTCATCAGCCCAGGAATCTAGATTGTTTGGATCATGAGGCTGTGGTGCAGGCTGCTCAACCGTCCGACCGAAGAAGTCACGTTTGACAGCTGCGTCCCTTGTTATCTTGGCTGCAACCGTATCTTCGGAACTCCTGGAACCCTTGGTACCGAGTTTAGATGCGCTCAAGACATCAGACTGCTTGCGCGTCGTCGCCTTACGGTACTCTTGGTCTAGCACCTGGCGGACGGCATACCGCACTGGCGCTGTACCACCCGAAGCCTCGATCGTGCTACCTTGGATCTTCGAGAAGACCACAAGTGAGTCGATAGGTCTGTTTGAGGGTATGTTAGCTTGGTGTATCTCACAAGATACTTGATATATCACTTACGGTTCCATTCTGTACGCCCATCCACCATGGCTTCCTTCATGTTCCACTCGGACTCTTTCAAATGTCACGCCCATCCCGGTCATTACACGCACGGTAGACTGGACGAGGGCACGTTCGGACTCTTTGCGGACGGTGGCAGTGCTTCTCTGCTCCCCGTTTCCACGGATGATAACCGGCTTGACGTCTGGCGATAGCATGCGGATCAAGTAAGGGACTAAATCTGTGATTATACTTTCATTTGACCGGAAAAGGCGAGCCATGGGTGCCGAAAAGGAGGCGTGGAATGCAGTCATGGCTGCACGGTTCTGCTTTTGTGCTTCAAAGGCAGCAAAGTCGGCTTTGGGTCCTGAGAAAGGATGGGGCTCATCGGCTTCCTCATCATCTTCATTCTTGTCATCATCGGTAGTTCTGCCAGTAGCCGTAGCAAATAGATGATGGAATGCGACAACCGACTGGCTGAGGTATGGAATTAGTTCCCACTCTTGGGATGAATGGACTTTCGAACTGATTGAGTCATGGAAATGAAGCCAGTCGTGGGCGGCGTTGGGTTTGGAGAAATAATTATCATCCTGGTATTGCTGGATGGGATATGAAGCAAAGCAGTCAGATACACAGCGGTCATGATCACCGCTGGAATCGACCATTTCCCGCAATCGGTTGATTGCGTGTCGCTTGCGCAGATCCGCCACGCCAACCGGAATACGGCTGTCCGTGGTATCAAAGCGATCTTGGAAACTCATACCAACAGGAGCGTCTGAGAAGCCAGCTCCCTCTGTGAACACACGGTTCACAATCTCACGAACGCCTCCGCGACTTAACTCTTTGAAGAACGCGCTACCCTCAGCCGATGCATTGAGGACTCGGTTTTCCAGCCAACTCCTCGTCAGTCTGATCGAGGATGGCGACGACCCGTTTCGGAGCTTGTGCGCCACAAATTCTGCAGCAACAAGCACGCTACGAATATCACCCTCGGCAGACCCTTGGGTTTTGGCATTGCGATTTCTTTTGCTCGCCATACCCCAGGCTGCTTCACAGAGTCTTCGAGCTCCATCACTGTCACAAGGGATGCCTTCGCGGCCGAATATAACCTTGACTCGTTGAACAACATTCTCCAATGGTGCCTGGCGGACATTAATCATTTCTGCAATGGACGACGCCCTGAGAGGCCGGAGACTGCTATGATAGAGGTCATTGCAAACCAAAATCAACGGCCGCATGAATCGGAAATTGTCACCCTTGCGCTTCTTGCCATTATTACCCTCCGAAGACCATTTCGCGTTCCGTTGGTCAAGCAAAACAAGGTCGATGAGGGCCTTCATGAAACCGCCCTCACCACCACTACCAGAACCACCAGTGACACCGTCGACTTCGTCCACCACGACACACACGGGTTTACCGGCACGGCGGACCTTTTTCTCACCAACTTCCACGTTCATGCCTTTGACGTTCTCGGTTC